AACTCATTAATTGAATTAATTAATCAATTAATTAATTATAAAAAATAAATAAATTTGATAAACGCGTAGTGTTAAATTATTGAAAGGGCCCAACTGAGCATAATCAGCGGGGAGATCAGATCCACTGCTTTGGGCCCATTGAGCCCACCCCGTACTCTTTGTTTGCTTACCCACTTGCACTTATACCGATTATCTACTTTCATTTATTTATTTATTATTTGTTTTTAATTATTTTTTAAAAAAATACTTTCTCCGTTCCATATTTATATATTCATTTATTTTTTTACACGGAATTTTAGAAATATTAGTATTATATTGAAATAAAATAAAAATAAAAGTAAAAAAACAAACCATATTAGTATTGTATGATATAAATGTAATGACATTTGTGTACTATATTGTAAATTTGAAGGGTATTGTAATATTAGATAGATAGTACAATTACTAAAAAAAAGAAATTGATACTTTGTTATGAAACGAATCAAAATAAAAAAATGAATAAATTGTTAAGGAACTAAGAAAGTATGTTATATTTAATATTATTATTTTTTTAAATAAAATATCACATCTAAAACTATTTTATATCAAAATCAATAATTAAAACCAAAACACAAATCTATATGCAATACTTATAGTTTATTAATGTAAATATGTGTATTTGAGCCTAACAATTATTTCACTTAAGAAATATTAATTAAAAACATAATACTAAAAGAACATATTTATTTAAAACTTGAATTACAATTTTTAATAAAATATTTTAAAATATATTATGTCTCTGTCCATTTAAAAAGTAAATATTTACTATTTACCATGAGTTTAATGAATATTATAATTTACTAATAGTTAATGATAGTTTCGTATATAAAGATTATTTTATCTGATGTGTAAAATTAGTTCGAGGGTATTAATGTAAATAAATATAAATATGAGAATATTTGTAATATTTATTAGGTCCATGCATTAGAAATAAAAAAGGATATTTATAAAAATAAATTATACAAATATAAAGATAATATTAATGTTAAATTTAATGACACAAAAAATAAATGTGACCAATAGAGGCGAACAAAAAGAATAAATGATTATTTCATGATTTTAATGTGATATATTTATGTTAAAATTATAAGAAAATTGTATTACATGATATAAAGTTGCCAAATAATGATGGGAAGTCGAATATGTTTGTTTCTTTTTACCATAAATTTCATATTTCTACTATTTTAACTTTTGATTTTTTGAAAAAATATATTTGATTTTTCGAAAAAATATATATATTTTTTCTCTCACAAAATATCTCATCATATATTATTTTAATTTCAAACTCAAATCAACTTTTTTTTCAAATCTATCAAAAGAAATATACAGAAGCAATTTATCTTAATCGGATTTATAAAAATTATTATTATTATTATTATTATTATCTTTCACATAATATCATATTAAATTAAAATTTTAAATTCAAATAGAAATCAGACACACTCCTTATTTATATTATTTTTAATTCAAGTTATTGAAAGTTTTTTCATCCAAATTATTATTTTTTTAAAAAAAATTTCCAATTCGTACGACTAAAATTAATAAACATAGTGATGAGTGTAAAATAGTAAAAAGCAAAGTTTTTAACACTTATACAAAATTATAATAAATTTAATAATATTTCAAATAGCAAAATAACAATAAGGAGAAAAATATGTTTAGTTTTAATTAAAAAAAAAAATACCATTATTCAGTTTGCATAATTTTTGATAAAATAACATTATTAATTTTTATTTTTTATTTTTATATATAATATAATATTAAATACAACTTGAATCAAAATTGAAGTTAAAAATTCACATTTAAACCGAAATAAAATAAATCTAAATATAAATTAGGGTAATGAAATGAATATAAAATTAGGAAGAAGATGAGAGTGGAGATTTAAGAGCCCAAAGGAATGGGCGACAGTGTAGGAGAACATGGAGCTGTGGCCCATTACGTAGGCCCAATATTCCACTTACTATGGATTATATCTTCTCCCATATGCTCTCCAACACATATGTCTCCCTTCTATCTATTTTTTTAAATATTAAAGTTGTAAGATTTTTTTTTTTTTTTTTTTTTTTTTTTTTTCTCTATAAAATATCTACACATATATGTATTTTGTAATGTTAATTTATACTCAACTCCGTCCGCCGCCTCTAAGAGTTATATTTATCTTTTGCATCATTATATTTACCATTAAAAATTTCCTTATATTTGTATAATTTTTGTACAAATGTCATTCTATTAGTATTATAAGATACTAATGGAAGTATTTTTGTAATTTTTTTTTTAATTTGTACTATATTTTTGATAGAATAATTAATATTAAAATATCAATATACAAAAAATAAATGAAATTCTTAGAGCCGAATAAAGGTAGTAACTTTTTTTATATCAATTATTTCGTATAAGTTAAAATAGTGTATAAATACTCAATATTAATTTGATACAAATTAAAACTTAACATATGTTTTTTACATAGATTTTCATTAAATTAGACGTGAGTTAAGTTTAAATTTACAGTTATATCTTATGAAAATACATTAAAACTTTAAAAGCAGGATTAGTATATACGTGAGATTGAATCACTTCTTATTTATATGGACAATTTCTATCATACTTTAAACTTTAATTATTTTCAATCCACGGTTAATCTTTAATGAATTGAGGCTGAACTTTAGCCTCTTTATCTTGTTTTTGTCACGAAAGAAAAACTTGATAGTATTTGTACGTAGCCTGATCAGCCTTGCTTTTGCCTAATTTTTTAAAATACTTTTACTTACATTAATTTATTTTGCTATATTTTTATAAGTCTTTCTTTTGGAGAAAATTGCAATAAATATCTCGTATCTATAGCCAATTACCACTCTTGTATTTTAATTGTCATCCTGGAAAAATATATTCTACATATGCCATTTTTTTTTTTTCGATTTTCGTCCTCCATAGTACAATTCACTCGCACAAATACCATCATAAACTTTACAAGCGGCTAAAAAAGGACAAGAATTGTGAAAATGTGACATATGTAGGATATATTTTGCTAATGTGACTATTAAAAAGAAAGATCGATAATTATCCAATTATGAATATGAAAATTAGTTTATATTTTTTTAGCATTTTTTATTTTTTGGTCTCTAAACAACTTTGGACTAACAAAAATTTTTACTGGTTGGTTTGCATGCTTGTTTTGGATGAACTGTGCAAATTTCGTTCACTTTATTGTCTAAGAACTTATTTATATTTTTTTAGCATTTACGAATTTTAGGTCCTAAAATAACCTCGAATTGACAAAAAAATATTGTTGGTTGGTTTGTTTAGTCGTTTCAAATGAATTATACAAATTTCATTTAATTTCAAGTCTAAGAATGAGTTTACGTTTTATTTGGTCGTTTCGGATAAACCGTGTAAGTCCCGTTCAATTCAGATTCTAAAAATAAATTAACATTTTTTTGCATTTAGGGTTTTTAGGGTCATAAACGACATTGGATGGACAAAACAATATCGCTGGTTGATTAGTTTGGTCATTTCAGATGAAACGTGAGAATTTCTTCCAATTCCAAGTCTAAAAATGATTTTACATTTTTTTACCGTTTATGGTTTTTAGGGCTCTAAACAACTTCGGATGGACAAATCAATATTACTTGTTGGTTTGTTTGGTCGTTTTTAATTAACCGTGTGAACTTTGTATAATTTTGAGTCTGAAAATTAGTGTACATATTTTTTAGCATTTTTGATTTTTGAGGTAAAAAATGAGCAATTATCACTATTGTCTTTTAATTGTCACTCGGTCAAAATAAATCCCACAGGTGTATATTTTTCGTGATTTTTGTCCTCCATAGCATAATCCTATTCCACGCTCGTGAGATTGTATCCATCGTGAACTTAATGCACGATCAGATGAAAAAATCGTGAAAAAGTGACATTTGCCAATAGATCCAGTGGCCGACAACAATCCACTAAATATCCTAACATCTACTTCAGATTTTCCAATGTGGTTACAAAACCAGATTACTAGAAATTTGAACAATCCGATCTAACCCCATGCTTAATAGATTCATTTTCACAAACTCCACAAATTGATCATTGAAAATCCAAGATTGTTGTATTCTTAAATTTAGACACCTTTCCAATTTTAGTTTTCATGTATGCTAAAGTATCACCATCCATGATCGTTCAAAATGTTGTATAAAATTGTTATAAAAGTCATATATGATTGAAGGAGAGTGAAGAGAATATTGAATTTTTCAAGATACAAATGATCTTAGATATACTTTGAGTTGTTGTGATACCCCGGCCCGCAAGCCACGCAATATCGAGCGTGTCGGGATTGCAAACTGGCCCCACAGGTCAACACGAGTCCTTCCATCATGCTTCTGTCCTTAATTAAGTGCACGTTGGGAGACTTTGCATGTTGGCTCTAATACTAACTGTGACACCCCACGGTCATTGACTGGATTGGTCTAGCAGTTAATGATCCATGGGACTCAACGTGGACGTTGCATTCTAAAGTGGGGGGATGTGATACCCTCTGGAGTGAGGCCGTTGCTTGGCCAACTCCCCTGTGTGGATGAGCCGTATTGGGCCATCCAAATTTGATTAGAGGTTAAATAGATTGAATAGATTATTCATATCAACAATGTGCACATTTTCTTTAGGAGCCCCATGAAAAAACTCTAGAGTTAAGTGTGTTTGTTCTAGAGTAATTTAAGGATGAGTGACCCCAGTCTCCCACGGTGCGCGTGAGTGAGGACAGAAGCGCGCTGGAAGGACTCGTGTTGACATATGGCGTTAGAGCCGGGGTGTCATAGTTAGTATCAGAGCCGACCTGCGATAGCCCGCAGTCGTTGACTGGATTGTTGAGGACTTAGCAGTTGATGATCCATGGGGTGCAACGTGGGTGACATAGTTAATATCATAGTCGACCTGCGATAGCCGTTTGCTGCTTCGTTGTTTTTGTGGGAGCTCGAGGTGTCTTAACTCTTATATTCATGGCCTGATGTGCACTTGAAGTAGAACAACAACACCAGAAACAACACAAAATTAGCTACGCAGAGCACAGTCAATGCCCAGTAATAACAGTCCATTCGGCTCTGATTCAGCGTTTCCTGAAACCAGTTCACCCTCCGGCCGACATGCTTGCTAAACTTTCCGGCCAAATGAACTGAAAAAATGCCGACCAAGATTCCGGCGCCGATGATTGCCCGAGCGAAAAGAAATGGGTACAGCAGGCGTAATGCCTTTTTGTACCGTCTGCCTATGAACGACTTCGCATTAGCTTCGAGAAGGGAATCGACCATGGCGAGAAGAATGAACTGCGGGAGCATCCAGTACATGCTCATCGGGATCCTCTGGTCGGGCTTGTCGATCAAGCCGTGGCGCGTGATGGCTTGCAGCCTCCGTCGCTCTACTTTTGCGGCCGTTATGCAGCACAGCACCGAAAAAAACATCGCCGTGCTAATCCCCGCCCGAGGGGATGCTAGTTGGAATAGGAAGGTAATTATCTTCATGGATTGTTTTAGGGTATCGTAGGTGGCGAGAAGGTAGCATGACGAGGTTTTCCATTTCCCGATCTTCGGGTTTAGGGTGTTGGCTTGCTCTATGAAGTAGGTGTTGCAGATGGAGATTATGACGCCGCAAAGAACGATGGATGGGATTAAGGGAGCCATACGAATCGCGAGTTTTGTCTTTTCGACGTCTGTAATAGTGCACAATGTCCATTTATGCTTCTCGTGTTCCTCCGAACTCTTTCCGGGCACTATGATCGTGGCCTTATCCAAAAACCTGCGATGTTAGAACTCGTTGAAATCGAGATTCACCACAAGTTTATGAGAACAAAATTAGAATGAATTTTGATTAATGAACATATGAGATTGAATGACATGAGTCCCCGAGTACGGGGCAATGAGGTTTGGCGATTTTCTTGGTCGTGAAGGCGGATTTGATCGTCGACTTTATGGAAATTCTTGGAAATTGAGGCCACCAAGACTCTCACGCCTCGCGTTATAGGGCTCTCTTTAGCCAATCCGTCGATACCTTTGGTTAGCATTACTCCTTCCTCTTTATACGGCACGAATAAAAACAAGAACACGGATATAACTGAGAAAAATGAAGGGATTGCAAAACGAGCGGACCAAGGCTTTATGTAGGAGAGGGCAATGTTAATAATGTAATTGAGGATAGCTGTAACCGGGTGATTGGTGATGTTCAAGCCGATAATTTCTTTCTTTTCGTCATCTATATCGCAATCTTCATATATTATTTCAAAGATGATGACAATGCTGCACATTCCAACGGTGACCATGGGGAAGCCTATGTTGAACAAGACTTTCGGCGTGTGCCCGATGCAGTCGGGGTGGTAGTTGCTGCACGTGCCGGTGTAATGTGCTAGCAGTGGCGGTGTCGACAGGGTCATCAAGATCCAGCCTTAGACAACATCAAATCTCGGAAATAATTAGTACATGTACGGAAGTATATATACTTAAGGTGTGTTCATTTCAAGAATTTCAACCAGTTTTCACTATTCATAAAAAAAAAAAAAAAATCCAAAAAAATAAATAAAAAAACACTTATTTTTAATTTTTTATACTCCTCCGTCATTTAACAAAATATTCATTTGCCCTTTGTGTACTTTAACATTAGAAGTATCATTTTATTTGTATAATTTTTTTTTGTAGAATGTCATTATATTAGTATTATAAAATACTAATAGAAGTATTTTTGTCACTTTATCTTGATTTGTAATACATTTTGATATAATAATTAATATTCAAAGATTAACACACAAAAAGTAAATGGATACTTAGTTACGGGACAGAGAAAGTATTATATTAATAATCAATTTTATTCTCAAAATATCACATCAACGCCTATTTACATACATCATATAACTATTCAAATTCAAAATATCTATTATTCAAATTTCAATCCAAAATTCAAACCCCCGAACAAATACACCCTTAGAGAATCGTAAGAGAATGCTTACAAAGGCATAAGGTATGGTGCATAGAAGAGGGAAAATTAAAGCAATGGATCAAGAAACAAAGAAGAAACGAGGGCAATCGCCAAAGGCAGCATCTTAGACAAGCCTTCCCACATATTGACAATGGCTGCCTAGTGAGTGAAGTTATTCCCCCAAGCGTCGGTCAGATAAGTGCTCAGCACTCGCATCACGTACCCCGTCATGATGTCAGTACATATTAGACCTGCGGCTCAGCTTGATCAAAATTCGCTCTGTTTACTTGTGAAATTTTATTCCTAATTTTACTATTTTTTTTTTCCTTAAAAAATGTCAATTCAAACACCCATTTTTTATTTTTTTATTACATTAAAATTTAATTTTGCATTCAAAATATCAAATCAATACATATTTATATCACATCAAACAACAATTTCAATATTCAAAATTTTATCATTCAAAACAAAAAAAAAAAAAAAAACTATAATCTTATGAGTGAACACAATAAAAGTTTTGGAAAATTTGAAATTTTAAAAATGATAATAATTAAATATTTAATGTAATCTTTTAAAAGAAAATTAGTATGAGAAATTCTAAAAATATCTATATAAACTGAACATTATTTGCAAAATGACTTTAAATCTAATTATAATACCTACCTTATATATAATGATTAGTGAACATTATCCATCTTACATTCTCACTAATAATGACATTTCCAAAATATTTTTAATATAAAATATTTTAATGAAATTTAGGCAAAGTCAACTCAGGATTAATTCCTTGAATATACAAACATTCAAATCAAAATGGAAATATGTCAATTAATGATGCTCAAACTAGCTTATTCATAAAGGATTAACACTAAATCGAAAAATATATAGATAAAATTTTATTTTTCATTGCAAGAGTGATCCTTAGAACAAGAAGAGGAAAAAAATTAAGAGTAATATGGGCATTTTATTATTCAATAAAATAAAATAATATTAGAGTATTGGATTGAATTAATTATTCTAAAGATTGTTATTATTGTATTGGATCTGTAATTGTTTCAGATTTGAATACATTAAAGTAAAACCTAGTATTACACCGAGTAAAATAATATTATCAATCGTAATCTCATACAGTAACGGTACATAAAAGTAAAAAGAAAAAGAAAGTAGAATTTTCAACAATAAAATCTATAGATAAAATATTCTTATTCAATCCTACAAACTCAGCCTCACTAAATCAGCTCATAACTCCCACAATTATATATTTTGGCATTAAATCATAATCATACCACAAAATCAATTTCAAAACCCCTCAACATTATTACAACACTACAAGAAAATATCATTTTAGTAAAAAGATTTTTTTTTACTCTAAATCCACTTTTTTCCGTTACTAATGACATTAGAGACAAAATTAAAATAGAATTAACGTTAGCTACGCGAACTTTAGCAACGGAATTCGTTACAAATATATACTATTTCTTTTTACCGTAAGTTTAATATCTTAAACACTTACCAATAAATCCCACAATCGATGCTTAATTCATATCGACCTGCAAGGTTTTCGAACCATTATGATCATCACACACATACAATCGCTGCAGTCGAAGATGAAGAAAAGCTATAGTGATGAAATAGAGGATAGATAGATAGTTAAGATCAGATTAATTTACCCATATCGATTAGGCCTTTGGCTAACTTAGTTTATCTTCAATTCTTCCCTGATTTCGAACCATCCCCAGCTTCTTCTGCAACACTACAGTTTATTTACATCTTAATTGATATACATATATACACAGATTCTTCATAAAAGCACCCTTGAACAGGGTTTATCGATCTGGGGTTTAGTTTGGTTTGGAAATTTAGCAAAGATCTGTAGAAAGTAAAAGTTATATTTTAATACCAGTAGTGTTGCTGGAGTGTGTCTTGGTGGGATCAAACAAGGCTTAAACACTTCAACAAAATGACAATCCTAGTTTTCTGCAATCAGTTCAATGTTTATTTTATACACCAATTGCATCATTTATGTCAAGTATTACACTCCATACTTCAACTAGGTAATTTAAAACTATATATAATTAATGTGTGGGTTTGTTTAATATGTTAGTTTAGTGTGAAAACAGGCCAAGTGGTTGTTAAACAACTTGGAATCAATCACATCTCTATAATGAACTAAAATTTAAATCATTTCTATTTCTTTCTTAGCCGAAAAATCGATCAAACACCTAACAATAAGAATAGCTCACTTTGGAAATCAATATAGAAAAATCCCTCAATATAAACTCGTTATTTGTTGAACGATCAGACTGCAAATACACATACTGATAACGAAAAAAACAAAAAATACAAACAATTGTTAATCCAATTCGGTTGCACTAACCTATATCTGGAGAGTTCCAACTTAGGTGTGATTCACTATTGAAACTATTGAAGCACAAAATTTTTTGGATACAATCGAACTACATACTCAAGAAATTTATCTCACAATTTCTTGATCATTCATAGCTCTCAATCAATCACCCCAACCCCTATCACTCTTAATGTTCAATAATCTCACACATAGAGACTATCAAAATATTTCCAAACAACCATCACACCATCCACTCAAAGATTGTTGTAACAAACTTAGATCCTCTTATATTAGGAATTCTCTATTTGTTAGATGCGCGATCACAGGGACCGCCGTCAATAATACAACAATTTCTAAATCTGGAACTAAGTGGATCTTTATAACATTTAGGACCAAATTGCGAAGACCCAATGTTTTATTAAAGCCCATCTGACATCCAAAAAGTTTGCAAACATCAACCAAAATTCAATTGAGAAAATAACTAGCAACAATCTCCCTATTTTTTAGTGATATATTTTCCAACCAAGAAGAAAGGCAAAGTACATTCAACTATCACGTAGATAATGAAAAGAATCATATCCCTCCCTCTCAAAACAACAAAACACAACATAGAACAACTAAGACCAACTACCACCGCTCTCCGTTTTTGTTAGATGGAGATCCTACCTTTCATTTCCAAACCACCTTAGGGTCATTTTCATCACCTCAAGTCTTTTCGATCCAAGCAAGAGGATAAAATATGAGAGATACTTTGACTCAAATCCAATATGAATTTTCATCTCATGATTTCATAAGGCTATTAAATTTTCAACATGAATATTTATCAACTTAAGAATATAAAGACTCCCCCTTAATCTATGCAATTCAACTTAATAATCCATCACAATCAGCAATAATGCGTAATGCACACAAGCAAGCAATCCATCCATCTAATATCAAATCATATCAAGATGAGGATGAGGATGATTTACCCCTTTAATCATATCTTTACCCTTTTTTTTTTCTTTTTGCTCCCTATTGTGGGCGACCTTCACCAACTGTTGGCCACTTTCTTACACCAAATTTTGGTTCAACATCATCAGAAGGTAACTCGTCGATGGCTTGAAATGCATCAATAGCATCAAATTTTGATATGGACACATCTTCATTTGATTTTTGCCATAGATTGTTCAATATTGTGGATATTTGGTGACTCTTTTGGTCTTCACTCACATCTGATCTTTATTCTATATTTGAGCTCTACCGATGGCCATTTGGTATGTATTTCCTTAAGTATATCACGTACAATCTAGGCACACTAGTTTGCATTATATCTTGTTTGCCAATAGTACATGCAGTATCTGGATTGTCTGAGCAACTTTCAGGATGTCATCTTCGACTCCACAAACCAGCAACTTCAAGCAATTTTCCATAAAAGAGTATGCACGAAATCTCTCCAAAATTTTGCCTTTCACAAAAATCCCTCAAAATAAAAAAAATACACTCCCCTCAACTAGAGGTGAAACTCAATCTATTCTAACATGGGATTTGGGCTTTCCTTTCGGTGAAGATAAGTAGAACTCTTCTAAGTCCTCACTCTACAATAAGCACATGAAAGATTTCAGATTTTTTCTTTTAGAATTGTTATGAAAGCCATACTTCACAATGCAATGGGTTCTGTATATATACACATACACAAACTCACTTCTTCCAATCAAAATTCAACAGCATATGGATTCCAAACGGTCAAATATGTCAAGACACATCTCATGTCAAATACCAATGCGTATGGGACGAATTGATATGTCAAACTCCACAAAAATATCCTAGAAGAAAAGAGAGAGTCAAATATTACCTCTTTTTGGTAATAGACTTTTTTCTTCCTTTATTTTTAACCTTTCTTTTGCATGCAATATCATGCGACAAGGCCATTTTGTTTTTTATATAGTAGGACAAGATATATATTTTGTCTCATCTTGAAGTTTTTTCAATAACCAGAACATCAAGCCTCGAATCATAAACATGAGCAGGTTACAGTCTTACAGACAGCTGATTGGTCGTCTGATTTGTCTGTGGGTCCAAAAGGGATAGACTGTCCCTTCATTTTTCTTCATCAGTTTTTTACTTTCAAATCTATACTAGCACAATTTTTCTTATGTTTTTTGCCTATGAAGAATTTGAATTGTCTTTTTATCTCTCAAAAAGATATTTTCCCACTCAGAAAATATGTGACAAAACATTCCACATCAGTAGTCAGCGTGGACAATTTAACAGCCACACATATATTTTAGATATTCAGATTTAAATTTAGATTTAGATTTAGATTTGGTCTTATTCATATTATTCATATTAGATTATTTAGATTTAAGTCTAAGGGTGCGTTTGCAATTAGCTGATAGCTTTTAGTTGTTAGCTGTTAGCTGATTCAATTAGCGGTTTGCAATAAAATATTTGGTAAAACAACTGTTTGACATTAGCTGTTTATACATAAAATGACTATTAAGGACATTGATATGTTATTTTTTAAAATATTTAATTTTGTTCATTTTGGTTTGAAATTTATGAGAATTTTTGTTATTAATTATTGAAAATTATAAAAATATTATAAAATATTTATTTTATTTTTATTATTTCGATCTGAGAAAATTATTTTTACTAAAAAATAATAATTTTTTTATTGAAATTATGTAAAATATAAAATAATAAATCTTTCGTATAAATTTTTTTATTATGTTAATTATTTTTAATATATATAAATAAATAAATAACCTTTGTTTTTTTCTATTTGATTTAGTTTTAAAAATTTATATATTTTAAAAATAAAATAATTTATATGTAGTAATTTATAATAGTAACTATTTTAAATTTACAAAAATAAAAATATAATTGAATAAATTAAATATATTAAAAATAATTAATAAATACTGCTATAAAAATATATTTATATGTATAAAATAAATAATTAAGTTTTAAGGGTAAATAAGGAATAACCAAAATTAAAATGAAAAAGCTCTTTTAAAACGCTCGGTAGATGAGCTTTTCAAAAATTAGTTTTTTGGGTCCAAAAAGCTCTTTCAAAAAGCTAATTTACCAAACAACTAAATTAACTTTTTGACTGGTTAAATAGCTAAAAGTTGTTCAATAAGCTAAAAGCTCTTCAAAACGCTGTTTCCAAACACCCCCTAAATATTTTGTAGATTCCCGATACATCAAACAAAATTTCATATCAACATAATTTTTTTTTTTTTTTTTTTTTACTGTGGCAAATGATAGAAGATGTATACAGATTTTATATTCAACCATGTATGTATAATTAATTTTTTTTTTCTCATTAGAAATGTTATGATATTCAGTTTTAAATTTAGTAAATTTATATTTAGATTTTGTTTTATCCATATATGATTACTTAGATTTGAATCTATCGAGTCTGTTTTGTATTGCCTATATATAGGCACCTTATTTTGTTGATCAATAAGATAATTTCATTATTTTCCCCCAATATTTCTAACATGGTATCAGAGCCTATTTTTCTCATGCCGAAGATATAGCCTACCGAACCGCGTTTCTCCGGGTACATTCAATCTAAATTGTACCTGGAAGTCTTGTGATTTTGAGATCATACCTTTCAAGTCTGTCTTTTTGCAAATATGTCTCGTCTGCGATCTGCCATCTATCTGTTGTCTTTCAGTTCCTCCGTGCAATGAAATCGGTCTGCGATTTGCCATGCAATTTGAAATCTATCTACGATCTGTCTGCTATTTACCATCTGTTCTGTCTGTTGCCTGATTGCGATCTGAAATTTTTCTGCTATCTGTCATCTATCTGCTGCTTGTATGTTGTCTGTGTGCGATCTAAAACTTGTCTGCGATCTGCCATCTCTCCGCTGCTTGTCCGTTGCCTGCGCGCGATCTGAAATTTGTTTGCAATCTGCTATCTTTTCATTGTTTGTTTGTTGCTTACGTGCGATCTATCTCATTTTTTACTCCGGTGGAGAGTCATGTCGTTTTCAGTTCCGGTGGAGGCATGTTGTTTTCGGCTCCGGTGGAGTCATGTCGTTTTTAGCTTCGGTGAAAAGTCATCTTGTTTTCGACTTCGGTGGAGAGTCATCTCGTTTTCGACTCCGGTGGAGAGTCATTTTGTTTTTTGCTCCGGGGTGGAAAGTCATCTCGTTTTCGACTTCGGTGGAGAGTCATCTCGTTTTTTGCTCCGGGGTGGAAAGCCATCTCGTTTTTTATTCCGGTGGAGAGTCAAATGTTATTTTTATTTGTGTTTATATTCAATTTTCTGATCAAACTCAAGTGGTATAATAGAAACCAATTTGATTTTGAAGGGATGTTGAGATATTTTAGATATTATTTAAATTTGATCTTATCCATATTAGATTGTTTAGATTTGAGCCTGTGAAGTCTGTTTTGTATTGCCTACATATAGGCCCCTTATTTTCATAATCAATCAGATAATCTCATTATTTTCCCCGAAATTTCTAACGACAAAGAATCATCCTAACTATCCCCAATATAAACTACAATATATTTATATTCTTTTCTTGAAAAAACGAAAACATTTAAGATCTAACTAATGAGAGATGTGATTAATTTCACGTTGTTAAACAACCACTCAGCCCGTTTTCACACTAAACTAACACATTACACAAGCACACGCATTTATATATACTCATATATAAATTGCCTAGTTGAAGTTTGGAATGAAATATTAAACATAATTGCATGCAATTGGTGTATATAATAAACATTAAAATGATGACAATACACGTTGACATACTGTCGAAGTATTTAAGCCTTGTTTGGTATTAAAATATGCAATTAGTTGCATTGTCCTCCTGCAAGGTCTCTGTTAAATGTCCAGAAACCAAACCTCAGATCGATGAAGCCTGTTCAAGGGTGTCTATACATATATAACATCCACAACAGTCGAAGAATCTATATATATATATATATATATGTATATCAATTAAGCTGTAAATAAACTGTAGTGTTGTAGAGGAAGCTTAGGATTGTTTGAAATCAGGGAAGAATTGAAGATAAACCAAAGTAACCGAAGGCGTCGTCGCAATGGGTAATATAATCTTAGGTATCCATCTATCGTCTCATCAACTTTTCTTCGGCTAATGGGTTTGAAAACCTTGCAGGTTTTCGAACCGGTGCATCGATTGTGGGAGCCTTTGGTAAGTTAGTTCGAACGCCATTAATCGATCATATATATCAATCTTGATTTGAATGTTTGTATCTTCAAGGAATTAAATCTTGAGTTTAAGTTTGCATAAATTACATTAATCTATTTACTATTGAAAGTTTTCTTTTTGGAAATGTAAATAATTATACTTAAAAGGTAGATATTATTGTTGTCCGGCCCGGGCCCGGGCCCTGGCCCAAGGCCATTCCTTCTAGGGCCAATAAGGAGCCCAATAATATATGTATATATACTCCTATATATTAATATATTATTATTATTATTATAGAATATATAAAATAAAATTTTAAATAAAAATTAATTTTATAATTATTTTTTAAATAAATGATTTCTACATTAATTTTTAGATTACTTTTTTTTGTATGTTTCAGTGTGTTTATTTAATGATATGATTTTATATATTTTTGTGAATTATGTAAAATTAAGAAGATATGATAGAGTAATATTTTGTGTATTCTTGTTATTTTTATTTTTATGTCAATATGTTCAAATTTTGTATATTTTTTAGTAGTATTTTTAAAAATTTGTGTATTATATAAACACTGAATTTGTTTATTTTATCTAAATTTTCTAATTTTTATTATTAGGAAAAAAATATATTTTTTCTCTCTCATAGACATCCCATCAAACATTATTTTAATATCAAATTCAAATCAAATTTTTCCCTAAACCAATCAAAAGAAACAAACTCTTAATAAACTTTTTTGTTTGAAAATTTTCTTTTAAAGACTTTTGATTGTTTATAAAAAAATATTTTGAAAAAATATTAAATTAAATATTTTTTTATTTTTATATTATACTAAACATGTCGCATTAATTTTATATTTATATTTTGATCTTTTAATAAATAAAAAAATATTTGATTAATACATTTACATTAAAATATATATATAATTATTATATTATTATTATAATAATATAAAAAATATTTAAGGGCCCAATATTCTAATTTTGCCCCGGGCCTAATAAAGGTCAGGAACGGGCTGATTGTTGTGTTGTAAAACTCCAAATAAAAAATTGAAGCATTGTACATCTAGCCCTTCGAACATCATTTGACCAAAAACATTTTGGGCATGTCCATACAGTTTTGGGATTGCGTACACTGGGATTTCGTCTTTAACATCTAAAAATATTTGATGTAGTATTTTTAAAATCTACATTATAAAACACTAGTAAAAATACCTCATATGGTTGCCTCAGACGTAGATCATTCTTAATAAGATTCAGAATCGTCTTGTATGCATTTTTTATCTTGTTTTCACAATTCCGCAACAATTACTCGATTAATTTTTTTTTTTTTTTTTTGCGAATAAGATCTGATGTAGCTGAGCTGCAGGTCTGATCTGCACGGACATCATGACGGGGTACGTTATGCGAGTGCTGAGTACTTATCTGACCGACGCTTGGGGGCTTAACTTCACTCACTCGGCAGCCATTGTAAATATGTGGGAAGGCTTGGCTAAGATGTTGCCTTTGGCGATTGCCCTCATTTCTTCTTTGTTTCCTAATCCATTGCTTGTGCCTATTCTATGCACCATATCCTATGCCATTGTAAGCATTCGATTCTCTTACAATTCTGTTGACATATTTTAGATATTCAGCTGCTTTTAGCTAAGACAGTCATTTACATCATCTAATATGGTATTAGAGTCTTAGGTCTCCAATTTGAATCCCACCATCCCCCATTTGTCGTTATGGACTGGCAAGTTTTGTTTGGTGACGTTTATCCCCTTACCCATGAAGGGACGTGTTGGTTGACTCTGTTCATGTACTAATTGTTTCCAAGATTTAATGTTGTCTAGGGCTGGATCTTGATGACCCTGTCGACGCCACCTCTGTTGGCACGATCCACAGGCACGTGCAGCGACTACCAACCCGACTGCATCGGGCACACTCAGAAAGTCTTGTTCTACATAGGATTCCCCATGGTCACCGTTGGAATGAGCAGCATTGTCGTCCTCGTTGCATTTATATTTGGAGATGACAAAGAAGATGATGACGAATCGCGAGAGATGATCGGCGGGGATATCGCAAGTCACCCACTTTTAGGTTTTCCGAATTATATTATCAACATTGCCCTCTCCTACATAAAGCCTTGGTCAGCTCGTTTTGCAATCCCTTCATTTTTCTCGGTTATATCCGTGTCCTTATTTTTATTGGTGCCGTATAAGGAGAAAGGAGAAATGTTGTCCGATGGTATCGACGGATTGGCTAAAGAGAGCCCTCTAACGCGAGCCATGAGAGTCTTGGTAGCCTCGGTTTCGAAGCTCCGCCATAAACTTGATGATCAAACCCGACTTCACGAACAGGGAAATAGGCGAACCTCATTGCCCCGTACTCGGGGACTCAGGTCATTCAATCTCATCCGTTCATTTAATTCACACAAACTTATTTTCTAAAAAATTTGTGATGAATCTAAGGGGGGTGTATTTCAATGGGTTTTTTTTTTGGATTTTAATAAGTTTGTGGGTTTCTGTAAATTTAGAAATCCACAAAGTCGTTTTATGGATTTTAATAACTGATTTAGATGAATTTTTACATATTTATATGGATTTCGTAGAATTGAAGAATAATTTCTTTATTGATATATATAATTATATAAATTTATATCAACAGTTCTAGCATCGCAGATTCTTGGACAAAGCCGCCATCATAGTGGCCGGCAAAAGCCCGGAGGAACAAGAGAAGCATAAATGGACATTGTGCACTATTACTGACGTCGAAAAGACCAAACTCGCGATCCGTATGGCTCCCTTAATCCCATCCATCATTCTTTGCGGCGTCATAATCTCCATCGGCAACACCTACTTCATAGAGCAAGCCAACAACCTCAACCCGAAGATCGGGAAATGGAAGACCTCGACATCCTACCTTCTCGCCGCCTACGATTCCACAAAGCAATCCATGGTTGCATTCACTTTCCTATTCCAACTAGCATCCCCTCGTTCCGGGATTTGTACAGCGATGTTTTTATCAGTGCTGTGCTGCATCACGGCTGCCAAAGTCGAGCGAAGGAGGCTGCACGTCATCGCGCGCCACGGCTTGATTGACAAGCCCGACCAGAGAATCCCGATGAGCATGTACTGGATGCTCCCGCAGTTCATCCTTCTCGCCATGGTCGATTCCCTACTTGAAGCAAATGTGAAGTCGTTCATCATCAGACGCTACAAAAAGGCGTCGCGGCTGCTTTATCCACTTCTGTTCGCTCGGGCAATCACCGGCGCGGGAATCTTGGGCGGCATTTTGTCCGTTCATTTGGCCGGAAAGTTCAGCAAGCGTGTCGGCCGGAAGGTGAATTGGTTTCAGGAAACACTGAACCGGAGCCGAATGGACCATTATTACTGGGCATTGGCTGTGCTCTGTGCAGCTAATTTTGTGCTGTTTCTTGCGCTGTCGTTCTACTTCAAGTGCAGATCAGGCCGTGAATACAAAATCGAAGGTACGTCACATAAAAAAGAATCAGAAAACCAATCGCGGGACATTGGCGGTGAGGATGAGGAGAAGCCGGAGACGATGGAGACGGTGGCGGAAGCTGCCGCGGAGTTCATAGAAGTTGTGGCCGAAGCTGAAGCAGACGGTGACGATGATTAAGACTGCATTTGTTTTGCAGTTTATATATATATATATATATATCTTGAAATTTATTTTCTGAGCAACTTCACTCTAAAAATATGTACTTAAGGGTCGTTTGATGGACTTTTTTGGTACAATAGGATTTATATGTGATGGGATTTATTATATTCAGGATTTAAAATCTCATATTATGTTTGGTTGATAAAATGTGGTGGAATTTATATTTCGTGGATTTGAATTATTTATATTCTAAATGACATAATTGTCCTCTTATGAAATTTATTTATTTTGACAAATTAAACCTATAAATTGAAAATATATCAATAATTTTATAGGATGACAATAGATTCGCGTAAACTCGAGACCTGACCGAGCCCGACCTATTTATTTGAAGTTGAGTCCAATTATTTGAGTATTAGGCATGGATCCGGGTAATGATCAGAGTAATATAATAATAAAATATCAACCATACATATGAAAAAATAATTTCGAATAATATAATTATATTAAAAATATTTTTTAATTTTAACGTATTCATTATTTTATTATAATAATTTTCTAATAAAATACATAAATTTTAATATACATTGGATCTGGTACATGTATAATTTTAAATTAAAATTTAAGAATTGTAAAAAAAATGGATTTTTCGGAACCATCAAGTCTTACCGGGTATAGTCTCGGTCGGATCTAGTATAATCGGATCCAATTTGAATCTCGAATTTAACAATATATATTTGGGATGAATATCAGTTCTGACTGAACCCGACTTATGGTCGTCCCTATAATTTTGTAATTTAAATAAAATTTATAATAAATAATAATTTAAACAATGAATTTATTAATTTATTTAAAAAATATTGTACAATAAAAAATAATATAAATTTAATTAAATATATAATTCAAATAATAATTAATTTTAAAATTATTTAGTATTTATATATAAATATAATACTATTATTTTTTTTATAATAGGATATAAATGTAAAAATTAAAATTTCAAGAATGAGATTTAAAAGTAAAAGGGTATCCCCATTACAAAAAAAAATCCTTTATTTGTAGGATTTTAGCCCTCTTTTTCAAATCCCATCATTTTAAATTCCACCTTGAACCAAACAACCCATATTATTCTATGTTTTTACAAAGCGTAAAATAAAACTGTAATGCAACAATAAAATACACGGATTGTGTTAAAAATGTTCCTAATTTTTACTAATCAGCGTCAAATATTTAAGCGTCTTTTTAAATTATGTCTTTTTAATATTAATTTTGTAAAAAATATTTCTAACTTTTACTAATAGCGTCAAATATTTCTAGTTTCGTGTTTTCCAGTTATGTGTTTTCCAACTTGAGTTTGCAAAGAGAGATAGAAGCTGATGCAGCCACAATCATCTGCAGGGCACTCAACTGAATTAGAGTGGGGAACACGGAACTCTCACCAGAGTCGAAAAACACAGAATTGGAAAACACGAGACTTTCTCTCAGCCTAAAAAATACAGAACTTTCACCGGAATCGGAAAACAACAGAACTCTTAACACAATCGGAAGCAACATTTTGTACTAAACCATGACAAACGATCAAAGGCCGAACTCGGATGCAAAGTTGAAAAATAACTTGAAAGAAGAAACAATTGCGGATGAATCTCAAAATCAGAAGACCTCCCGTTGACACCATGAAACAAAAACAAAAATAAAATAATATCAAATATGGGGAATCTCTGGGTACAATTCAGGTTAAATATACTCGGAGAAACGTAGGTTTATTATAAATTTTGGGGGAAAATAATGAGATTGTCTTATTGGTCATCAAAATAAAGAGCTTATATACATAGACAATACAAAACATACTCGATAGACTCAAATTTAAATAATCTAATCTATAATAAGATCAAGTCTAAATATAAATCAACTAAATCTAAAACTCGAATATCTAAAATATCTCAACACCCCCTAAACTCAAGTGGTATAACAGAAACCAACTTAGTTTGATAAGAAAATTGAATATAGATGCAAAAAAAATAAATGCAAATAGAAATAAAGGTTGACTCTCCACCGGAGCAAAAAACGACGTGACTCTCTTTCGGAGCCGAAAACGACATGACTCTCCACCGTAGCCGAAAATGAGATGACTCCACCGGAGCCAAAAACGAAATGACTCCACTGGAGACGAAAACAAGATGACTCCACCGGAGCAAAAAACAGTTGACTCTCCACCGGAGCCGAAAACAGATAGATCGCAACACCAAACAGATCGTACGTAGGTAACAGACAAACAGCGAACATATGTCAGATCATAGCCAGATTTCAGGCAACAAACAAGCAACAACAGATGACAGATCGCATGCAGGCAATAGACAGACAATTGACATATGGTAGATAGTAGACAGATCGCAGATATATTTCATATGCAGATCACATACAAATTTATTGCACGCAAGAATAAAAGACAACAAATAAATGACAGATCGCAGACGAGACAGATTTGCAGAAAGATAGACTTGTAAAGCCATGATCTCAAAATCACAAGATCTCCAGGTACAATCCAGGTTGAATGTACCGGAGAAACACGGGTTGGTAGGCTATATCTACATCATGAGAAAAAATAGGGTCTGATACCATGTTAGAAATTTTGGGGGAAAATAATAAGATTGTCTTATTGGTCATCAAAATAAAGAGACAATACAAAACAGATTCGATAAACTCAGATTTAAATAATCTAATTTATGGATAATATCAAATTTAAATATAAATTTATTAAATTTAAAACTAAATATCTAAAATATGTTAATAGGTTATATCTAGTGCAAGAGAGAGAAAAATAGGTTATACCATGAAACTGAAAAATTGTATTGTATAAAATGAATTATTATACTACCTCATTTGTCCCATCCCATAATAAGAGTATCATTTGTATCATTATATTTAATATTAAAAATATTATTATATTTGTATAATTTACCCCGAAATGTTATTGTATTTGTATCGCATTTTTATATTTTCCTTTTGATCGTATAGATATTAATATAATAATTATTCAAAAATTTACAAACAAAAACCCAATGATATTTTTTTGGGGGATGAAGATAGTATTATTATTAAAAATATGAATAAATTTTTATTTTTTATCTTTTAAAGTCTGTAGTAATTAAAAGATTTGACTATAGTTCAAAATCTGCTTTACATTATAGCCAAACATTTAAAGAGACAATCCCATAGAGTGTATTTTATTAGAAACATAGACTAAGGTCATCTCCAACTCATCAACTTCAATTATTCAGTTTTAACTTCAAAACATGCTGTTGTTACAGTAATTCTACTCTAACCATAACTCTATTTTTCACTATTATTCTTCGAATATTCAATTTTTTCTATTATTTTAAACAACTTTTTATTTTAAATAAGCCAACCAGCACCATTAATGGCGCTGGTTGGAGATGCTCTAAATAGTATTGATATCTTTGAAACACAAATTAAGCATACTTTAAAACTTCAGAGTTTATCACACACTGCCGGGCTATCCCCTGCCTGACTAGTTATGTTTGGATTTGTTTCTTTAGTCGGTGTTTATAATTTGAAGCGTATTGTTATTAGATAAGAAATTTGAGGAATGATATTTATAGTGTATTTGAATTTTTATATATTTATTAGGATATATGTAGTTGTAAACTTTTTATTGAATGATATTTATTTGTTGCATAATATTTTTGGGGGAATTGTTCCACTTATTTTATATTTATAATCTATGGTTGTATGATACTTTGACACTAATTTAAAAAAAAAAATAAAAAAAATACTTTCATACGTATACGTAGTAGGAATAAAGTAAAAATAATTAAAATAAATTAATAATTTATTAGTATTATATGATATAAATATAATAATATGAATATAGTATAAATTGTAAAGATATTTGTTATATTAAGTAATAAAAATAATACTTTATTATGGCCAAAATAAACAATAGCTAGTTTGTGATGAAAAAAATGGAATATAATATACTTTTTCAAAATGAGAATTGTGAAACAAATAAAAAATATTAAAAAAATATAATATAAATTTCAAATCACAGACAAACAGAGATATACGAGCTGTTAAACAAATGCACACTTTAATCATCGCCACCTTCTTCCTCAGCTTCAGGCGCGACTTCTATGTACGGGGCAACTGCGGGCATCTCCATCTCCGGCGCATTATCCTCGGCGCCGATGTATTCACGGCCTGATCTGCACTTGAAGTAGAATGACAACACCAGAAACAGCGCAAGATTAGCTGTGCAGAGCACAGCGAATGCCCAGTAGTAATGGTCCATCCGGCTCCGGCTCAGCGATTCCTGAAACCAGTTCACCCTCCGCCCCACACGCTTGCTGAACCTGCCGGCTAAATAAACCAACAGAATGCCGCCCAGGACTCCGGCGCCGGTGATTGCCCGAGCAAAAAGAAGTGGATACAGCAGCCGCGACGCATTTTGGTACCGTCTGAGGATGAACGACTTCACATTAGCTTCAAGTAGGGAATCGACCATGGCGAGAAGAATGAACTGAGGTAGCATCCAGTACATGCTCATCGGGATCCTCTGGTCGGGCTTGTCGATCAAACCGTGGCGCGTGATGACGTGCAGCCTCCGTTGCTCGACTTTGGCGGCAGTTATGCAGCACAGCACCGACAAGAACATTGCTGTGCAAATCCCGGCCCGAGGGGATATTAGTTGGAATAGGAAGCCGAATACAACCATGGATTGCTTTGTGGAATCGTAGGTGGCGAGAAGGTAGGATGTCGAGGTCTTCCATTTCCCGATCTTCGGGTTGAGGTTGTCAGCTTGCTCTATGAAGTAGGTGTTGCCGATGGAGATTATGACACCGCAGAAAACGATGGATGGGATTAAGGGAGCCATACGTATCGCGAGTTTGATTTTTTCGACGTCTGTAATAGTGCACAATGTCCATTTATGCTTCTCTTGTTCCTCCAGGCTTTTTCCGGGCACTACGATGGCGGCTTTGTCCAAGAATCTAATATTAGAACTTGTTGAAAGTTAGATTCATCGCGAAATTTTTAGAAAATAAATTAGGGTGAATTAAATGAACGGATGAGATTGAATAACCTGAGTCCCCGAGTACGGGGCAATGTGATTCGTGGATGTCCTTGTTCGTGAAGCCGGGTTTGATCATCAAGTTTATGGCGGAGCTTCGAAACCGAGGCAACCAAGACTCTCATGGCTCGTGTTATCGGGCTCTCTTTAGCCAATCCGTCAATACCTTGGGGCAACCTTTCTACTCTCTCCTCATACGGCACCAATAAAAACAAGAACACGGATATAACCGAGAAAAATGAAGGGATAGCAAAACGAGCTAACCAAGGTTTTATGTAAGAGAGGGCAATGTTGATAATATAATTCGGGAAAGCTAAAAGTGGGTGATTGGCGATATCCCCGGCGATCATCCCTCGCGATTCGTCATCATCTTCTTCGTCATTTCCAAATATAAATGCTACGAGGACGACAATGCTGCTCATTCCAACGGTGACCATGGGGAACCCTATGTAGAACAAGATTTTCTGTGTGTGCCCGATGCAGTCGGCGTGGTAGTCGCTGCACGTGCCGGTGGATCGCGCCAGCAGAGGTGGCGTCGATAGGGTCATCAAGATCCATCCCTAGACAACATTGAAATTAAAGTTGGAAATAACACTACAAAAAAAAAGTATATTTATAACGGAATTTCCCTAAAGTTCATATAGCTAACGAGTAATTTCATCCATAATTCTATCTCTAATGTCATCAGTAACGAAAAAAAGTGAATTTAGGGAAGAAAAAAACCTCGTTATAAAAATGATATTTTCTTGTAGCGTAAGTACACGTACGGAGGTATGATCATAGAATTGTAAGAGAATCAAATTCTTACAATGGCATAAGATATGGTGCATAGAATAGGCACAAGCAATGGCTTAGGGAAAAAAGAAGAGATGAGGGCAATTGCCAAAGGCAACATCTTAGACAAGCCTTCCCACATATTGACAATGGCTGCCGAGTGAGTGAAGTTAAGTCCCCAAACGTCGGTCAGATAAGTACTCAGCACCCGCATCACGTACCCCGTCATAATATCTGTGCAGATCAAACCTGCTCGATCCAACTTTGTCAGCACAAGAAAATTAGGCTAAAAACACATTGTTTCAATTAACACGATATGTACTAAAATGGCATCGGTTGGGATGCTGACTCTAATTGCAAGGCAGATAGCACACGTTCTATATAGCACAACACAATGTTGTATTGTATAGAAAGATTTATTTTGCAGTTTATACATTGTACTCTGTATATATATTTATTGTGCTGAAAATCAATATGTTGTTATGTGTTGTATATTTTAGTATTGTGTGTTGTTCTTTATATATGTTGTTTTGTCTTATATTTATGTGCTAATCGTCAAACCAGTACCATATTGATTTGACCCATATAGCATAGAAACTTGCTCATATTTATATGATTTGTTGTATGAATACACTTCTTGTACTCAGATTAATAATATTCTCTCCGTCCCATAACTAGGTATCTATTTATTTTTTGCACATAGTTTTAGAAATATTAGTATTATATTGGGATGTAGTAGGAATATTATAAGTTGTAAGAGTATTTGTTATGTTATGTAGACAGTAGAATTACTAAAAAAGAAAATAGATACTTTGTTATGGCACGGACTAAAATGGAAAAATGGATACTTTGTTATGGGACGGATGAAATATTATCTTCTATATGGACAATTGTTCATATATTATGAATTAATCATGTTTTTGTTTATAATTATATTATTATGTTGCCTATCATTCATCAATATATTGTGTATGATTAATTATAAAATTCAGTACAGTAATTGTGGCTTTAATTCGTATAATTATTTTAGTCTAGTAATACCTACCCTATAAATTGTTATAATTATGTGAGAACATGAGCCTGGTTGCATTGTTACTAATAATGATTATATCTCCAAAATAAGTTTAATGGCAAATAGATTAATGAAATTTAGGCAAACTCAACTCAAGATTGATTCCTTGAATATACAATTAAACATTCAAATCAAGACATGATCCCTTAATGGTGTTTGAACTAACTTACCAACGGCTCCCACAATCGATGCTTTGAATCGAAAACCTGCAAAGTTTTTCAAGCCCATTAGGATCATCAAACACACCCTGCAGTGGTAGATCGATGAAGAAAAGCTACAGCTAATGAGACGATAAGTATTCAAGATCACATTACTCATAGCGACGAAGCCTTTGGTTTATTTTAGTTTATCTTCAATGAATTCTTCCCTGATTTTGAAATATCACCACATATACACAGATTCTTGGAGCATTGGTGTGTATTATATATATATATATATATATATATATAGACACCCTTGAACAGGATTCATCGATCTGGGGTTTGGTTTGTTTTGGATATTTTAGAAGACTTTCAACAGGTCATTGCAACTTACTCCATATTTTAATATCAATGTTGCTGGACTGTGTCGTGGGATCAGAGAAGAGTTATAAAACTTCAACACAATGTCAATGGTTGTTGTTTGTCATCAATTTAATGTTTTATTATACACATCAAATGCTTGCAATTGTCTAATTATTGCATTCCAAACATCAACTAGGCAATTTATAATTATGTATAAATGTGTGTGATTTTATGTAATGTGTTATATACACCAATTACTTGCAATTGTCTAAGTGGTTGTTAAACAACGTGAACTCAATCACATCTTTATATAATTAGCTAATTTCGAAATGTCTTTTTCTTGTTTTTTTTTTTTTTTTTCTTCTAAAAAAAATAAATATATACATAGTTGTTTTAATTATGTTTCCAAAATATTAGAGTGGGTTTTCACAAAAGCTAACCTTGCAAATATATTGTTGTAAATAAATAATTAGGGTCAAGAATCATAACCCAATTGACACAAGGGCGAGGGTAACATGTCCCTTAGTTGACTGGAAATTAAACAAGCTAAAGGTATTAGTCAATTTATAATGATATCCTTAGTTAAGATTGATTGATGACTTTGGCTTCAAATTAAACCATTGACACCTACATTAATTGGTTCACTAGATAAGGATTAATCATCGAAAACTATGGAGTGTTGGGGAATTGGGTAAAGTCATTGGATGATTTCAAAGACGATGAAACTTGAGGAGAAAACTACCGGAACTAATCCTTTATTATTATTGTGTGTTAAACTTATATATTAAGACACATTAATAGAAAAATAAAATTTGATTGCATCAAATATAGAAAATAAGGAAGTACTTAAGCTTGTCGAGAGAAGATTCCTTAGTAAAATCAACTGCATCTTGATTATTTGTAGAAACGTACAACAACTGAGTATCGCCTATTTTCTACCGAACTGCGAATGAAATGAAATTGAGTATCAATATATTTTGTTCTCTTGTAAAAATTATTCTTTGTCATCACAATAGTAGCTTTGTTGTCAAAAATTAAAAATTAAAAATTACGTTGCAATTGTTTGCCCTTGGTGCATATCAGTTAGAAATCTTCCCAACCACACAACTTAACACTTTGCAAAAGCCGCAGAAACATACTCTACTTCGGATGAAGATAATGTAACAATATCTCGCTTCTTGGAACACCAAAAAATAACCACGGAACCTAAGTTAAAGCTTTGCCCAACCATTGTCATTATATACCTATAACTGAAATTCAGCAACTTTTTTAGTTATATAACAAATCACTCTTTTTGCTACTTCAAGATGTTGCACACTAGAGTTATACATTTACCTAGATAACACACTCATAGAATACATGATATCAGGGCAAGTGTGTGTAAGATAATCTAGTCCACCTATTAGGCTCCAAAAATAACTTGAATCGGTTGCTTTGGATTTATTTTCTAACTGCAACTTCTCATTAGTATTCATGGGGTGGCTGTTGCTTTGTCGGACTTGAGTAAAAGATCATAGCATGTATATTCCAGGAGAGAAATATATCATCTTCAGTTTTCTTTACTTTGGGTGTGTTCCGTTGGAGTATTTTTGTTAATTTACTGTTCATCAAATTTCTTTCCTCAAAAAGTTATCAAATCAACTACGTATTTTTTATTTTTTATATTATACTAAAAATTAATTTTACATTCAAAATATCACATCGTACAACTATTCAAATTCAAATTCCAACTTAAAATTCAAACCTCCAAACTAACACACCTAAGTCCAAGAAAGTAAAACATCCCAAGCCTGATATTTCAAACTCTCTCATCATACATATCTTGAATTCAGCAACTAAGGCATGGAATGGTCGCAGGCCGAATCGTAAGATCTCTTCAACTCTCTATGAATTTTATTCTCCTTACAAAATCTATAGAACTCATATGAAACAAATTCACCACCTCGATCAGAGAAAAGAGTCTTAATTTTGCGCTTATTTTATCTCTCCACCAATAACTTGAATTTTCTTAAATTTGAGAATACCTCTAATTTATTTTTCATGAAAAAACCGAGTATATCCAAGTGTGATCATCCAAGAATATAAAATAATAATAATAATAATAATTAATTATACTTGATTTTTACCTCATACTTTATTTCATCACATCATCTAAATAAATAATAATAATAATAATAAAATTACACTTCTTTTTCCTATCACATTATCTAATTTACAAATTATCTTACTTAATACTATTCACCTAAAATTGTGTCGAAATTAAATATTGTATCATATTTTGAACCTATCGAGAGGAGTACAAAAAATGCAAAAACACAATTAATCCAAGCAAGGACAAAAGTACACAAAATAATATAATCAATATTTTTAACTTAAATAACCAATGACTAAAATACTATAAAACCATAGAAAAAATAAGTAAACAAACACTGCAAATACACAAGATCAATCAAGCCTAGTGAAGAACAAAGAAGACAGAGTTGTTGCTAGTAAAAACACAATTCATAACCTTTATAGTTTGGATGGATAGTAATAGTACATTTTTTGGGAGCCATTGAAAAAAAAGAAGAAGAAAAAAAAGAAAAGAAGATACGATAGCGTCGAATAGTGATAGCAAGAGCACGAGACGGTGATGGCGAAGAAAGGTGACGGCAGGCGCAAGTAAAACTGAGAGCGGCAATGCGGAGCAGCGGATAAGAGCAATTGCAATGACCTTTGTATAGAAGGCTTTTGTGTCGGAATCAGGCCGGTTCTAGGTCCGGGTGAGAGGGGCGCCCGCCCAGGGTTCAATATAAATGAGGGTCCTGTCAAATATTTATGTTATACTACCTCCGTCCAGCTCTAAGGGTCTCATTTATTTTTTGCAAGTTGATTTTTTAATATTAATTATTATATGAAAGCGTAGTACAAATAAAGGAAAAATGACATAAATATTTTTATTAGTGTCTTATAATACTATTATAATAAAATTTGTGTATAAAATTATACAAATATCATGACATTTTTTATGTTAAATACAATGACGCAAAAGGTAAATGAAACCCTTAGAGCCCGGACGGAGAGAGTATATATAGTTATTATATATAGGACATATTTGATTTATCTGAAACTAAAAAGAGTGTAGTTTGGTGATATGATGTTATTTTAATGGTGATGTTAGAATGGGTGATTTTTCTAAAGTTTTTAAAAGAATTTCATACAATGGCATTCAAGTTACCATTCTCTCTCTCTCTTTCTTTTTTTTTTTTTTTTTTTTTTTTTTTTTTTATGACGTGGGAACCCACAATCGCTACTGGAAAGTACACACGGGATAAACTCGCCTGCCGAATCTCCCGTGAATGAAGTGAGGTGTTGGACAATTAACAAAGGTTTTTTTTGGTATTTGCTATTGTGATTGCTTTAACGACTAGATACTTTTGACACAAATTGATTCTATTTACTTGTAAGATTTTACCATAATTTTACTATTCTAACTATTTTTTCTTTCGAAAACATCAAATCAAACATTTAATTTTGTTAGTATCTCCGTCCAGCCACAAAGTACACAGTAGTCTTTTTTGTTGATATTTAAATATTAATTATTATATCAAAACGTAATATAAATAAAAAGAAAATGACAAAAATACATCTATTAGTCTCTTACGATACAAATACAATCATATTTTTGGAGTAAACTATACAAATATAAGAATATTTTTAATGTTAAATACAATTGCGAAAAACATATGATTACTTCCTGGCTGGACAGAGGTAGTATTTTATTATAATAAACATTCAAAATATCACGTCAATACAAATTTATATTACATCAAACAAAAATTTCAATTCAAAATTTTACTATTTAAAATCAAAACCCAAAACCAAAAGCTCGGAATTAAACACAAATGTTTCTTAAGGTACGAGATTACTTTCACGGGAGGAGAGAGGCATAATAACTATAGTTCTTGGGGATTTATATAAAATTATCCTCAATTTATAATTTTTATAGTAGTATGGAAGTTTTGTGGAAGGTTTAGATCAATTGACAAACTATGATTAAATAAATAAATGCGTATATAGAAAATAAATAAAAATAAAGAATAAAACTTTTATGTATTATATAGATTTATTTGTTTCGTAAAATAATTTAAAAATCACATTTATTTTTTTTCATAATTGTTATTGTATTTAACATTAAAAGTATTTTGTATAATTTCTTATACAATATTTTATTAGTATTATAAGACACCAATAAAAATATTTTTGTATTTGTTTTAATTTATATTACGTTTTAATATAATATTCCCTCCTTTTTGCATTTTTTTCATTGAATTTTAGAAATATTAGTATTATATTTGGATAAAGTAGAAATGAAGGTAAAAAGATTAAATTAACTTATTAGTATGGTATAATATAAAGATAATGACATTTGTGTAATATATTGTAAATTAGAAATGTATTTTTAATGTTAGTTAGATGGTACAATTATTAAAAAGAAATGGATATTTTGTTGTAGGACGAACCAAAATGAAATAAATAGATAAATTATTAAGGAACGAATGGAATAATTAATATTAAAAAATAACACGCAAAAAGAAAATGAGATATTTAGAGTCGGACAAAAAAAATATTTTTACATGAATAGAAAAAATTAAATATAAAATATAAAAATAATTAATACTAGTAATATATTAATTTTTTAAAAAAAAAATAAATAAAAATAAAAATAAATAAAAAATGAAGAAGCTGTATCGCCTTCCCATTCAATAGTATACAGAACTGCTGTTGCAATGGAGATGGATAAAAACGTGTGTTGAAATCGGAGCTCCCACCGCAAGAGTCACACCTCCTTCCATGAAATGACACTTACGCGAGCCTGCTTAAGAAGAAGCTTTTTGGATTTGCTTTGACAGACAGACAGACAGACTCCATGGATGCCCTCAGAGCCGCTTACACTGAAACCGATTCTGATTCCGACGGGGACGCCGCCCAATCGGAACCCACCGCTCTCCCTCCGCCGCCTCTGTCTCTTCTCCAGCCCCCAAATTCAGTTGCTGGTAGGTATCTCCTCACTATACCCTTCCTTTTTTAAAAAATAAAAAATTGAACTTTCTGCCCCTCAACTGTTCGACGAATTGATTGAAGTTGCAGGTGCAGCATTTGATTTTCCGACACAGATAGAAAGCAATCATTCCAATCGAGTTCGTAGCTTCCCTCACGTTGAAGGCAACTATGCCCTCCATATATACATTCCCAGTAACCTTCTCCTCCCCTAATATATACATACATATATATATATGTGTGTGTGTGTGCGGTTTTGGTATGAGACATTTATGGTGTGTTTGTTTGTATGTTTTAGTTTTTTGGTTTGGATTTTTTAATGAGTAAAAGATTGAATTTGAATAGTTGACGAGATATAAATAGAGGTTTAGAGGTTAATGTGATCTTTTGAAGTTAAAATAAATTTATAGTATAATATATATAAAAAAAAGGAAAAAAAAAAGTAATTGTTTGATTTGATGTTTTTTTTAGGGAAAAAAAGAATCTGATTAGTAAAAATCTATGCCAAAAACCAAAACAACACAACTACATTTTCTAGTGGCAAGTTCCTTAATCATAGAGATTTGTGGCTCTCATCATTTTATTGATGCGTCTAGTATAGAGCTTGGGAATATTATTTCCGAACACTAGAACAAAATCTATTATTGGACAGAATAGGGGAGTAAGTATTAGTAGTATAAACTGACTCCATTATCATTTTAGGATGTGCTATTTGTGTATGCCAATTTAATTTTTTAAGTGAAAAATAGTAGTTGAATTTTATGTTTTTGTATGGAGTTTAGGCGGTTTTGGGGCTTTAAAAACTTTCCGACATAGCATGCAGAAATGTTATTGGAAACACAAGCGAGCAAAACCTTAGCCTTCACGAAAGATGGTTTGATTCTAGGAATTTGTTTGGTTTTTATTTGAAATTGGGGTTTTGATTTAAGTTTTTGTTTAGATAGTATTTTGATACAATGGTTTGTGAAAAATGAGGAATTTGTTTGGTCTTTGTGATAGATGGTTTGATTTTAAGAATTTTTTTAGTTTTGATTTGAAATTGAGGTTTAGATTTGAATTTTGGCTTAAATGATATTTTGATTTGATGTTTTGTAAAAGGAAAGAGTGTATTTTTTATCGAAAATTGTGTGGCTGAATAGTGATATTTTTTATATGACATTAAAACCAAACACTAATAGTTTCAATTTATTTCTTATGCAATTCTAATTATTTTCTATGAAAATATGACTTGTGTTTTTAACAACAATTTTAGCATTATCTATGAATAATTTTACCTTTAAGAACATTACATAGGATATTTATTTTTCATTGAATAATTTATATCGAAAATATATATATTTCTATTTAAAATGCCGCTCAAACATCTATTTTATGTTCAAATTTTTCATTTTTCTTGAGCACCAAAATACTTTCAAAACACCGTTAACAAATCATGACATTTTGAAGTAGTCGGAGTCTTAAAATCAAATACCTTCCATTCAATACAAAAAACCAAAAGAAAATGAAGTGGGCTATTGTTTTCCGTCAGATTGATGCAACTCTGACATTGAATTTCTTTCTAGTTATGATTCCATTGGCGGCGAGGAAGGAGATATCCTTGTTCTTGAAGAGGATTGCATCGGCTTCAAATGAGCTCCACGCAGTTGATGTAGACATCCCCTTTAGTAACTTAATCAATGACGGGCAAAAGTTTGAGAAAATTGTGCTGGGGAGGGAGTTTCACGTGAGCTTGGGAAGAACAGTGCCAATCCGAGTCCATCAACGTGACTCCATGGTGAGTATGCTTCGACAAAGGCTGCTGCAGTCCCAAAGGAGGTGAGTGAGAATTTATACGATGCGTGCATTTGTTATCATCTATCGAAGCTATTCAGTTTTACGGATTTAGTTATCTTTCGATCTTAGCTTGTGCTTTATTATAATGTTATGCTTATTATGTATGTATGTTGTTGAAAATGGGGTAGGTATTGGATTAATTTCGATAAATGGGAAGTTTTTGTCAACGATGAGGATGCGCGCATTTGTTATCATGTATCAAAGCTATTCATTTTTACGGATTTAGTTATGTTTCGAGCTTATAGCTTGTGCTTTATTCTAATGTTATGCTTATTATGTATGTATGTTATTGAAAATGGGGTAGGTATTGGATTAATTTCGATAAATGGGAAGTTTTCGTCAACGATGAGGGGACGCGGACATTCCTATCTTTGGAAGTTATCGGTGGAGGTTTAGCTGAGGTACGTGCACGACAATATTTGCTTGTTGTTTCGACTAATCATAACCTTGCCCGAACACATTTTTTTCTCTTACCATATCACCGGATTCATTATCCGTTGGTCGATTGATGTCTCCTCTCAGATAAGAAAGCAAATCGAATGCGTGAATGAAGTGTACAGGCTTCATAACCTTCCTGAGTTTTACAAGGTATGTTCGATCAAAGCTAGTTTGTGTTCGTGTTTGGAATTTGATTGATTTGGTTGGGCGACAGGATCCGCGGCCGCATATATCTGTGGCATGGGCTTCCGGTGACATAACCGCCTCCTTGAAAAGGGCCATTGCCGAGGAAGACATAAGAATACAAAAGGAGGGACAAACTCGGCGCGGCCGGATATTTTCCTGCGTGTTTGGTGGGATTTCATGCAAAATCGGAAACAAAACCTACGAGTTATGCAAGCCTCAACAAGAACAACAATAGTACCAAATGAGCTGGGCTAAGGCGAAAACTTAAAATCATCATTCGAATCGCCGAGCTAGTCACAAATTTAGAAATGTAGAAATGCAGCAGTGTGATTATTTACACTCATACGGCTAACCTGAAATTCCTTTCAACTCTCATGGCCGGGGTGACGATAATAATGTATTGAACAATTACTCAAATCATACCGATAATGTAATCAGCGCCGGAAGTCAATTTCTCGATGGACATCAGTGTTGGCTGAGCAATGTGAAAAAGGATACTCAGAGCCCAGGTATTGATTCAAGGTTGTATTTTTCGGAGGAGGATGTGGTATCAGTGTCTCCGTTGTCTTGCGCCTGCGGTTTCTTTATGGCATCGAATGTATGCAGATATGTGTAGGACGCATTTCGAGTGGAGGGTGAGCCCGGGTTGCTAATTCTGCTCGTGAGGAAGCGACGAATCAAACCTCGAAGGAATGGAGCCATCGTGTCCGGTTCATGTTCTAGGTAATACATGATTCCGCCCATACATGCGCAGAACAGAGCCACCTGTGAAATATTGGGACTTTGCGTCAATAATTGATGATAGTGTATAACAAGACACTTGCGAAATACATATACTTGAACTTCTAATCGTTATACTATTTAGAGTAAATTGCATACTACTCCATTATCACTTTTGCATATATTTATATTGTTGGAAAAATATATCCTACATGTTTTCAAAAGCCGCTATTTATGCATTTTGGCCGAGCGTAACAACTTCTGCAAACATGTAGAATATATTTTACCATCGAGATAAATATATGACAAAAGTGTGGAATGATTTTTGCAATTTTCTCTATATATTTATACTAAAATATTATGCAATTTACCCTACTATTTATTTATAGTATGCCAAAAAAAGGACTCAGTTACCTCAGCATTCTTGATATCTGGAAGCAAATGTCGATTCACCAAAATATACCACAAAGAATCTGCAGCCCGAGGAAGAACGTATAAAGCCAATTCTCCCCGCCTAGCTTTCTTCTCCAATAATACAGAGAGGGCAGCCATCCCTCCAGCGAGCCAATATACAAGCTTGTGGTCCTTTACTGCCACTTTCCGATGCATACATATTGCTGCCTTTTTATAGACAGGAGTAGTTAATCGGTAAGGCTATCATATTTTATGATGCAAACAGATGCTCATATTGCAGAGACAATAATACCTGAAAAATACCAACAAAAGAAGACAAGAATGTAGTTGAACGAACACCGCCTGTGACAGCATGCCAACATGTACGAACCGGAGCATCCATGAACTGGATAAGAACAAGAAAACCATAAAGATTAACCCGATTATATAGACTGCGTAAACTAGAGCAACTATGAGACATGATGCATAGTTAGCCACATCTAAAATTAGATTTGAAATGTAATGTTTTACATATTTGATTACTCTGATATTGCCCTAGGAACAATCTTCTTAACCATTGCAACATTTGCTTACCCACTCGAGCAATTTAGCACAACAAATCGATCAAAATAATTGTAAATTTGTACGGAGAGTATAGTTCAAAGGATTATATACCTTCTGCAGGCGCAGGAAAACAAATGGAACGAAGGTCAAAGAGAAGTATAAAGGAAACGTCTTCCTGAAGGTAGCCGATGCTGCGTTTGCATTGTGAACTAAGCATGACTCTGTATCAGGGTGAATAATAGAGCACGGAATAATAGCAGGAAACTCGTCCAACTTCCCTACAAAATTTCTCTTTCTACTCGACAAGTAAGCAGATAGTGAGGCAATATCAACAGGAGAACCTCTACAGCACTCCCTCACAGCTTTGTAAACAGGTGCAGCAACTGGCCCAGTTTTCTGAATAAAATCTCGATATGATTTTGGCAAGCTCTCAGGGCGCATAACAAAGGCATACATAACCTGAAAAAATCTCGTGATCAGATAGCCATTGAAGTGTAAGTTGTATCAGAACAAAAACAAAAGAAAGAATGCACAGGAAACCAAAAATAAAAGCAGCATCCAACAACAGACTCAGATATATTGTATTCTTAACCGCAGAATTAGTCAAATATGTATATATATAGCAGAAGGTAATATAATCGAATCACCTCAACTAGGACAACATGATTAGTGACCATAAAGCAAACAAAGGATGCAACAATTAAGAGTGCACCTGTGCACAAGCCAGTGAAAAGAGTAGAGTATCCCCGTGACTCCAATGACTTCCCCAGAGGTGGAATTTATTCTTGGATTTGGCTGAGTTATATGTACACTGGCAAAATAACCAAGTACTTAGATAAAATCAATGAAAAAAATTACATCATACGCAGGGTAAAATATAGGAGATTAAAGAGAAAGATAGTGACTGACATACCTGAGCAAGCCTAGCCAATAGATATAAAGCCAGGGTGCGCCTTCGGCTGGAATCATCTAATGATAAAATAGACAAACCAGATATTGCACCTGCTAAAATTCTGTTCCATCATCCCCTTTAACTAAGTCATATATTTGGAATTGTTGAATCCCGTCAATAATAATCAACCTTAAAAATATGACAGAAAAAGAACGTCTGCACAACAATACGATGGCAAGACATAATCAAATAGATCATAGAAATGCTTTGTTATTGTTAACTTACGCATTTGCAGGGGTCTCTTTCTTTCTTAGTTTTCTGAACAAACATCTCAGAGCATGGTAGGAACCAGTGAATCCCCCAAAAAGCAGTCCAATTCGGCATGCTTCCTCTCTTACAATAAGATCTTTCTCTGATACAAGTTGCTGCAAATAGTTTGATTGATTACTCTACAAGATAATAACTCATATAAACCATTTATGTAATTAGCTCACGGACCTTCACACTTGCATAGAAAAAGAGGACATAAGTAGAAATAAAGTAAACTTGTTAAGAACAAGATATTAGCTGTTTTAGTTCAAGCAACAATATCCCAAGAACGCACCAAATACCTATGTATACAGACCAGACAATATCCTTAAGTCAAAAACAATCACTCAAACATGGATTATATGTAATCAGATTGAAGGCATGTAAATGGATATATTTGATAAAAATCACACATCTTCACATTGATTTTTAAGTATATCCGTTCAAAACTGCAGATAATAAATTGAGTACAAATTTGAGAAAGATATGAACATGAAAATAAAATCTTATATGGTGACAGGTTTCAAAGTTCACTATCCATTGAAGCAACTGTATTAAATCCTGATACAAATTGAGTTCTAGCCTGCCTTCAGCAGTTTTACCTTTTCAAAAAGTTCGAATATCAGGTTCCACTGCACCAGAAAACAAGTTATCACCATCATTATCATGATCCCCAAATGAACCATGAAATCCTTTAATTGTTCAGCGAAAATTAGAGATTGTCAGGAAACACTATCCTTCATCAAACGCCAGGCACACGAACAAATCTAATTAACTAGGTCCAACTACAGGAACTCACTAAAACGAGTCTAAATCCAAAAATGACCACAATATAACTAGTTATTTCCAATCGCAGAGAAATGAAAATTCCGAAACCTTGAGATCGAGGAGAGATGAATAGGACTTGAGGCGCGCGAGCTTAAAGGCGCGAAGGAGGATTCCGATGCCAACTCGAATTCCGTACGATAGCAAAAAGCTCTGGCACAGGTTCCCCACAGCATTTGCGACGCAGGATTCGTCGGCGTGATCGCACGGCGGATGGAGATTTTCCGGCGGACTCCTCTGCCTCCGCTGCAACTCCTCTATGGCCTCCTTCAGACGCTCCTCCGCCTCCCTCAGGCGTCGCTCCGCCGCATCCTCCGCAGAGGCTCCATCGGCAGGCGGTTGATGCGGCGGCGTAGAGGTGCGCATTTCCGTGCAGGATAGAGAGCTTTCAGCATCTGAAAGCTTCCTTCTTTTGCTTTTGTGGGCGGAACGAAGTCATAAATTATACCAATTTTATTTTTAATTTTTTCTACTCATAGATATTAAAATAATGGATTTATTATGAATTTTCGTGCCAAATATTAAAATCCATAGCAAAATGGGTCCGACCCGAATTCAACCCATGGGTCAAACCCTTCTTTAGATATTATATATAATATTTCTGTTTTTCTTTTTTTTCATCCGAAGTTACGAGTCTATTTTGAGTTCTTTAGAAAGAGTTGTCTCGCGCCGAATAGATTTATTTCAATATTTAGTAAATTTATTTGATTTAAATATATTTAATAGATATTAATCAATTTAATTAAATTTTAAATATTTAAATTTTTTTTATAACAAGTAATTTTATTTAGGTTTAAATTTTTTTATTTTTTATAAAATAAGTTTAAGTTTATTATAATTAAATATTTTTATTTATTTATATTATATAAAATTTTATTGTTTACAAAATAATATTTATATTTTATATATTTTATTGAACTATAATGCTAAAAATATTTAAATATATATTTTAAATATTTTTTAATTAATTATATTAATTTATATTTTAAAATATTAACAATATTATTAATATAAAAAATAATAAAATAATATTATAATTTATTATTAATAATCTACTAATCTATATTACCTAAACAACGGTGTTCAAAGCAAAGCTGTTGTATATCTAGGAGGGAGTATTAAATCTCAGTCTATCGGATATTACTATCGCTTATAATTTATAAAATTTATTGTGAAGCTCCAATGTATTAAATTGTATAATTTTCGTATATTTATGAAAAAAATTCTGTTTAATTCTTTTTTTTTTTTTTGTTATTAAAAGAAAATTAGAAGAAATATTTTTTCATTATTAGTTAACAATGATTTAATTGTTATGAAATTTTTAAATTATTTTCACAGTTAAAATGTATAGTAATAAAATATACAATATAAAAGCATTTGTATTCTTTTGAAGTTTGATTTAAATATAATATCCTTTGGGAGCAGAAATTGGTACAATATACAGAAATTTATACCGTAGTTGGGTACAATATACAGAATTTATATCGTATAGCATGTATCATATCTAAATTTTTCATATGATATTTAATATTTCAAAAAATTGGTGTATCAAAATTTTTTATATGATATTTGATCATATGTAAAATTGGTATACTAAAGTATCAAAACTTTCGGTATAATATTTTATCCTACGATACCGTACTAAAAAATTGGTATACTGAAAATTCATATAGCAAATATTATACATCGTACTTATCGTACTGAGAATTCAATATATCGAATTACACGTACGATAGAAATTAAAAATAATTTATAATTTTGGAAAAAATTTAAAATATACTAATAATTTTTGCATCAATATATCGAATTACCAATATATACAAAGTGCAATACAGTATCTTACCAAAATTTTGCCAGTTTTATATTTTTTCAATAGGGTATGAACAGTATTTTAACAGTTTTTTTTTTTTTTTGATCTCTATCCGAAACGGTATTGTATATTTTTATAAAAAATCTGTTGGCTTGCAAATTCATTCTCCAGCTTAAAAATTTTTGTTGAAGAAAATCGGTGGATTTTTGGGCGACTTGATGGGAATCACAGATGATATGCAATAAATTTAGGGAAATATTTTGCAAATCGATCGAATAACAAATGGAAAAAACCGAGTTATAATTTATTGAAAATTGTTGGGGTGCAAATCCAAGTCCCACATTTGAAATATTAGAAGAAAATCTAACACCCGTCCCACAGAAAGTCCACTGGTATGAGACCTTTTGGAGAAAGTCCAAAAACAAATTCGTGCGGGCTAAGTCAAAACATACAATATATTACTAGTGTTGAGTTGGTCAAGTCTCAACAGTGGTATCAAAGCCTGATTCGTTTGGTGAAATGGACTGGATGGTATTGGGGCGGGCTCGCCCTCGTGACCTGCGGAGGTGCTTTGTGTCGAAATTCTACTAGCGTCGTTGAGTCAGTCCCGACAGTAGTATTTGGTTAGACAGCGGGTCCCTTTGTGATAAGTTAAGTGGGCAAGAAAGGCCCATTGGTTGGTCTTGCTTTGAGGGAGGGATTGTTGGGGGTGCAAACCGAAGTTCCAAGTTGAAAGATTAAAAGAAAATCTAACACCTTATAAGTCCCAAAGAAAATCCATTAGTACGAAGCATTTTGGCGGAAGTTCAAAAACAAATTTGTGTGGGCTAAGCCCAAAGCGATCAATATACTATTGAGTTGGTCCAGTTCCAACAAAAATCAAATTATATTATTTTTAAAAAATAAGAAAAATACAAAAAATGATTAAAGAAAATTAACAATAAATTGTGTGGAATGGGTTGGTTGCCTCCTTTTTAGGCGCTTTCTCCTTCCTTTTTGTCCCAATTTACATCGCATTCAATTTGGTATTTATCGTTTGTAATCGTCAAACCTAATTCATGTTACCATCATCCTCAATCCATCACTTAATTCTTGTGACATCTTCACTTTATTAATATCTTGAGTACATATGAATATGTTGCTCAATCACAACTTCAATGGTTCGTCAAAGATGAATCGAGTTTAGTCATTTAGACCTACACATTATCGGACTCAAATTGTACATCCTTTGAAACAAATAAGTTAAGTTTAATACATCTTTCCACCTCTTTAGGATGGGTTAATAGGAAGATTAGGCTCGACGCTAATAGTCGCACTAATATGGCCACAAATCGACTCCACCCGATCGGTTAAAATTCTTTAGGATTAGTCTTATTGACGGATATTTTGTGTGTCCACCTAATTCTCTCTTATATTTCGCAAAATATTGAATATATATATATAAAAAATTTGTATATATACGCCTGGATCGACAAAGGAACAATTGATTGATGAAAAGTTTAGTCGATCTAAGGTGTTAAGAAAGGATCCAGACTTCCAACCTAAAACTAATTGGTGATAGGTGGAGTGGTCCATCACCCTTATAACTAAGAGAGTTCTCACATGTTTACCAATGTGAGACAATATTCAATACTCCCCCATCGAGATGATAATCTCAAAAATTCATATCGGATCAATCAAATACAGGCACCATGGCTCTGATACCATGTCGGATGCAGAATGACCGTTTCACCTAAAAGCTTGAACTCTTAGGGAAACACAGTCATTAATTTATATAGTCGCAAACAGGAGTCCCCAACATAAGGAACAAGTGATTGATGAATGAGTTTAAAAGACGATAACTTGTCACAATGAATATCTGTTGCAATTGATCAACTTGGCGACCAACCATTCCATATGCCAAAAATGACTAAATACAATTTGCAAAACTCAATGCCAACTCCAAAAAACAAAAAAACAAACTTGCACAACTAGACCTGATCTCATTATTTTCTCACTTTTTGACTTGATCGGTGGGTGCAACTTGAAATTTTACCTTATCGGCAACTATTTGCACAATCAACAACTAATTTTTATTGGAAATAGATGTTCGACCAGCTCTTTAATCAGCCTAGATATTTTCTCGGCGAAGTAATCACAATATTAGAAAATCAAGCCTTCCAAGCACAAGCGATTATAATCGGAAATTCGGGCGTTGATCCTACTTGCTTTAGGCTCTTATATGATGCCGCTAGTCTATTTCAAGTAGCATATCTTGCCCCTTAAATGTCGGCATTTTCCTAAAAATTAGAATGAATGGCTTGAGCTTCCTAATTTGTCCACACTCGGTCAACATCAATGATTTATTATTTTGAGAATTTCGGCGTTCAACCCAAGGCTTTATTTCAAAGCCAGTTTAAGTTAGAATACAATACACATCTAGCTTATTCATAGCACAACTTGCCGACTTTTTGTTTGACGGCTTTCTTATCAACTAATTTTTTTCTTTCATTTCCTCATATTCTTTAATCAAATTTTTTTTTTCAAATTTTTTAGTAGCATCAATATGGCAAGTTGAAATTTTTGGAAGGATTGCTATCTACTTTTGAGTTGTCAACAACCAAGCACTAATCGAAACTCATTTTTTGATTGAGCACTTCTAAGATTGCTCATAAACTAGATCAACTATTTTTCTGTACTATTGAAATAAAATCGATTTACTTTTTTTGTTCCAGAGGCTAGTGGCATATCTGGTTTTCTTCGCTAGAGCCCATTGTGGAGAATTGGTAATCCTAATTTTGACAATTTCTCGGGCTAGTTTTTAACTTCGATTATCCAATCTTTTTAGTATGTCATCTTCCTAAATTTTTTTCTCTAATATTTTCCTTTGGTGGCGCTTTTTTTGTGTCCGTTTTAAGGGATGGAATGGTATGATTTGGGATTTGTTCAATCACTGAAAGGTAAATTTATCTTCTTGCCTTTGGTTTTCAGCGTCATGACATTCGCTTAACTGTAAAATTATCGGTATCAACATCCACGGTTCAAAAGAATTCTGATCATTGATGATAATAAAGGGTTTATCAATTGATTTGCATGAATGGTGAAAAATAAGAGTTGTTAGAAGTCCCTAAAATCTTGAAAAACTAACTTCTATTTGAGTTGTGGATGCATGTTTTCCACCACTCCACGGTCGCTTGAATATCCAAATTTGTACATTGCGTACGACTCTTCATTTGTTGAAAACATTCAATATACTCAGCTAACAATTCATCAACTTAATGTTTTGTATTCCTTAAATCAAATAATGTAACTTCAATTGGTGGGCTGTAAAAATGGCTATGAAAATTATCTCGCAATGACTTTATGGAGCTTGGCAATAACACAAAATACCAACTGAAAGAGGTGGCAATCAATGATAGCAAAAATATTTGAAGTTTGTGTCAATCTTTATGTCTTATTTCTCCATATTGTGCAATAAAATAGCTCACATGTTCAATACTCGAACGTCCATCCTCTCCCGAAAAAATAAATAAATAAATTTAAGTATTTTGATTTCATGCAGCAATGGGCATATTGGCATCATATCCTCTACCAAATCAAGGTAAGGCCGACGATATGAAAATGTTTACCAAAACAGCTACGAGCAGTATCTGAGGGGTTGTCAGACTAACTTGTTGCTCCATGAATATCATACTAGCACCATTAAGATTGCTAATCGGCAAAACAATCAATGAAAGTGGGCTTTAATATAGCTGAAAATAATTTTTCCCGAAAGCACTAAACTATCGTTGCCTTTCAAGGGATTGATGTAGTGGACTTGAATGCTAAATTTGTAGCACCATACTAGTGGCATTGTGATCGTTGGCTAGCAAAACAATCGGTGGTTGTAGCCCATGATATTGCTTATGGCAACAATGACCATCCGGAGCATCAAATAATTGTTGGCCCCCAAAGAATGATATGGAAAAAGAGTCCATTTTCCGAAAAGAATATTAGTTGTGTTGGACTCCCAAATCAGTAACTGGAATATTGCCATACGGGATTATGTGTATTAATTGCCCCCAATTTTGTTTGAATAGCTATTGTGGGGTGGAAAATTTTTTAAACCACTTGGTGGAATGATAATGGTAGGATGCGCTAGCAGGGTTGTTGAACCGATTGTTGCCTTGAAGGCACCTTACCAATGATGTTAAGATCGCTTATTGGCAGGACAATCGACGGTTACAGTTAAAAATAGTTGTTCCCAGAGAACATCGAATTGCCCCTGTAAAGAAATTGATGTAGTGGACAATCCTCTTAGGCAAGAAACATACTATCCACATCATTTTTCGAATCAATCTTTGGGATGTTTCCATATGAGGTTTGATACATCATTTGCTTCCTAAATTCTTTTGTGTTTCCATTGTGATTTATAAAGATTGTTGAACCATTTGAAGAGTCCCTCTAAAGCATTTGTATCTATCCAAACTGTAATAAATGCATCTTTGAAAATGCAAATGATAGAAAAAAAAAATTTTAAAAATAATTCATAACTGCCGCAGGCTGTAAAATATAAGCAGTTTGATTCATGCTCAGTATCCGAACCGACATTATTTGGGTTGCACAACTAGAAAAATTTGGCGTACCATAGGTGTTGGATGTTTTTTGACTGTGATACTTCGCTTGATTCAGCCAAACTACAGGATCCCCTGGCCCGCAAGCCACGCAAAACCGGCATGTCGGGATCGTAAACTGGCTCCACAAGTCAACACGAGTCCTTTCAGCGCACTTCTGTCCTCATTCACGCGCAGCTTGAGAGACTTTTCAGGGGGTCATCCATCTGCAAATTATTTTAGAGCAAGCACGCTTAACTCTAGAGTTCTTTCAATAAAGCTTCCAAAAAAAAAATATGCATATTGTTGACATGAATAATCTATTCAATCTATCTAATCTCTTATTCAACCTCAGAGGTATTAAATCTTCCTTACTCATATCACTATTCAACTCCAAGGGTATTACATCTTCCCCGACTTAAGAATGTAACGTCCACGTTGCACTCCAAGGATCGTCAATTGCTAGGCCCGTCAACAGTCTGGTCAACGACTGCGGACTGTCACAGGTTGACTCTAATACCAACTGTGACACCCCGGCCCGCAGACAAAGCCGGACATGTCGGGATCGTAGACCCTACAAGTCAACACGATTCCTTTCAGCACGCTTATGTCCTCACTCACGTGCACTTTGGGAGACTTTCCAGATGGTTACCCATCGTAAAATTATTCTAGAACAAGTACGCTTAACTCTAAAGTTCTTTCAGTAGGGCTTCCGAAAAAGAATATGCACATTGTTGACATTAGTAGTCTATTCAATCCATTTAACCTCTTATTCAACATTGGGGGTATTAAATCCTCCCAACTCATATCACTATTAAACTCCGGGGGTATTACATGTTTCGACTCTTTTCTTGTCAAATGGAGATCATTTCATTGCTTGTGACCGACCTGAATATGTCGGCCACTTGGTACAACATATCATACATGAAATTTTGAAGCCTTGCTTGCATCACTGATGATATTTCCTCAATAATAAAGACAGTTGCACCTGCTAGAAAAAAAGTGTTGCCCTCTGTACTCAAAGCACACTTTATTGACATTGATCATATCGGATAGACAGACCATTGAGGGCATCCGATAATTCGATGCCGTTTTTTTTTTTTTTTTTCTTGATTTGTCATATGAACAACCTCATTTTGTTATTGTAATCGCATACGCTGCTAAGTCTCACTTGGGGTGTCAATAATATTGGCATGAAAATATAATTTTCAATCTAAAACTTCTCATTGGATATAATTTGTAAGTTTTCAGACGATTAGATGTGAATCTATAGTGTATATAATAAATTTAGAAAATGATATCGATGGAAGAACAAATGCCACAAACAAATTGTAATTAATGAAAATCAAGTTATATTATTTCTATAAAAATAACAAAATAAATAAATAAATCCTAGAAGATTAAAGAAAAAGATAAATTTTGTGGAATAAGCCTATTGTCTCCTATTTTGTCTCACTCTCCTCTCACTCTATTGTTATGTTGATTGCGTATGAATATATTGCTCATCCACAATTTCTAACACATTCATCGAAAATGAATCGGATTTAGTTTTGTACTTTCTTTGGAAGATAAAAGTTAAGTTCACTGATCCTTTCACCTTTTTAGCTTGCTGTTGTCGATGGATTTTTTGCATGGCAACACAATCGAAATTATATATATATATATATATAAAATAAAAAAAAGATCAAATTTCAAAATACATCGAAGATTTGAGGTCGACCCAATTGTCAATCACCCTTCGTGTTTTCGACAACATTTTCATCTTCGCTCTTTTTCCACGACGCTTGCCATTGCTTGTCGTAAAAAGTTGCCTCATCGACTAATTTTCGAACGTTGTCAACATCTTCCTTCCTCCGCACAACCATCACACCTATCACTGCCGCAAACAACCCAAGCTTACAAATAAAATTCCCGGCCTGTCCGATCATGTCGAGCCCCGTCAAAGCATCCACAACATACCCCGCGAAAAATCCCACCATTGCAGCTCGACCTACAACATTACATTACATTACTCGCCACACTTTAATTGACCAAAATTAGCCCCGCCGGCCCCAAAAGGAATAGGATGGCCTAACCGTTAAGTAGTTCAGCCTCCGGGAGATGGGAATGAACGATCCACGCCCATAACGGGATGACCGAGCTTCTGAACTTCACAGGTTCTTCGTTTGTCGAAGCTTCCGGATACGCTTCAAGGAACTTTCTTCTCCTCGCCTCTGCACAAAAGAAGAAGATGGCATAAAACTTAAGGATGAGCACGGTTTAGGTATTTGCAAATATGCAGGTATTTGATATCCGATCAAACAAATACCCGAAATCGCGAAACGTATTCATAGAAAATATTTGCAATATTTTCAAATAATTCAAACCGAATTGAAATTAAAAAATAATTAAAATTCTAATTAAATAAAAATATTTCAAATATTCGAACCGAATATAATTATTAATACTCGTTCCGTCCAGCTCTAAGGTCACATTTACCTTTATTTTGCAATTTTTTTTTAATTTATACTATGTTTTGATATAATAATTAATATTCAAATATTGACACGCAAAAAACAAATGAAATCCTTAGAGTCGGATGGAGGTAATATAAAATTTAAAATATAATAATATAAATATATTCGATTCGGTTAATCGAAAAAAAAAAAAAAAAATTATCCAAAATCAAAACCGAACCGAACAAATATCAAATATGCAATATTTGAATTCGTACCGAATTTGCTCGATTAACCGAAAATGCAATTTCAGTTTGATTCAGCGGTTGGGCAGTTCAGTTCGATTTTTTGCCCATCCCTATTGAAACTTTTGTAAAAATTAAAGCAAACACAGAGACAATGCACCTGCAACGATGACCGCATCCCAATCCATTCTCCCCTGCTTCACGAACATGTTGAGATCCCACGTCCCGTTCTTCCATCTCTCATTGAAGAATCTCGGGGGCGAAGGCCCATCCAAATGCTGCACCGGATTCTCGTGCTCCTTCAAAGGATCTTCCATCAGAATTGTCGCACTCTCTTGCTTTCCAATGGTTTCAACATTAGTGACAACACTCGCCGCTGCTGGTGGGCGCCGTTTCTTGGTGAGATGGTGGTTGGAGCTGCAAGCCCTGAGAGTAACTGTAAAAGCAGTAATTCCAATGGAAGCCATGGAAACTTGTTAAGAAGAAGAACACAACAGAACAGAACAATTTCTGGTAAAGTTATGTATCTTGAAAAGGAAGAGATAAGAAAGCCCATGCTCAATAAACAAGATTATCCTGTCTTCTGCATTTAGAGAGAGAAAGAGTACACATGAGAGAGAGATAAATTCAAGAAGACTATAGTCTCACCAATAAATTTTATTTCCTACCAAATTTTTCACAGGTTCAGTCATTTTTTTCCCATAAAACAAATTAACACAACAGTAAATGAGAAGACTGGTTTTGTTGTGTTTGTTTAGGCTTCCCAGCCTCTGAGAAGAGTCGCGCGGGCGACGCGGTTAACGCCGAGGGTGAAAGCGCCCATGCGGAGGTTGCAGTTGTGCGACTGGCACATGCCTTTGATGTTGTGGAACGCTTTCGTCATGTATCTTTTGAGCTCTGCGTTCACTTTCTCTTCTTCCCACATGAATCCTTGAATGTTCTGCGGTAATTATTCCAAAGAGTGAGTACATACAAATTTAAAAATTTTGAAAAAGAATCCAAGAGGTCAAATATGAGATTGTTACCTGAACCCATTCGAAATAGCTGACTGTAACTCCCCCAGCGTTTGCATATATGTCGGGGAGTATGATCACTCCCTTTTTCGACAAGATCTGATGAAATCAAGCATTATCTTATCAACAACCAATTATATGCTACAATTCGACGGATATAAAAATAAAAATACGAACTAAATACCTCGTCTGCTTCCGGATCGGTGGGATGATTTGCTGCTTCTATGATGAATTTCGCCCTCACGTTTGCGGCATTGTCTCTGCAATCAAGATAAAAATATAATGCAATTCATTGCAAGGGAATTTTGGAAAACAAGTTAGATCGACTAGAAGGAATATTCAAATAATGGCATGCTCTTCGTTATGAATTAGCTCGGTTTCATAATTCAGACAGCTCAATATGAATGATCACGACGTACCTGTTTAGAACTCCACCAAGAGCACACGGTATGAGAACATCACATTCATGAGTCAGCAACTCATTCGCATCCATAGCATCAGCACCGCTGAAATCTTCGAGCTTCCCCGTCGCCTCTTTATGCTTAATCAGTGCGGCTATATCAATCCCGCTGTGGTTCTTCACCGCTCCTGTTATGTCACTGACAGCAACGACCTTTCCACCTTTTTCGTGCAGGAGACGAGCAGCCCAAGATCCAACATTCCCAAATCCCTAAATTATATTCAATTTTACATTTAATAAGATGTGCATCAGCGAAAAATAGAAACAATCCAATCAAAATTACATATCAGAAGTTGCACCTGAATGGCGAATGTTAAACCCTTTACTGATTTTCCATGTTCAGCCAGTAAAGCTTCTGTGGCGTACACAACGCCTCGACCGGTGGCAGCCTCCCTCCCCAGTGAGCCACCAAGATCCTGTCGTACCAAATAAAAGAATTAAGACCACAAGCCATTTTAGTTTCATATTCTTAAATTTCAAATGATTTACTAACAATTGGTTTTCCTGTAACAACTGCAGGTGAGTGGCCGTGAAATTTTGAGTACTCATCCAAAATCCAAGCCATTGTCTGCACGTGGATAATTTTTTTCTGAGAAATGATCGACAAAAGGAATGAAATACAATTAGAGAAACTAATGCGAAATATATACCTGAGCATTAGTGCCCATATCTGGTGCAGGAACGTCTGCATTAACACCTATAAGGTCGTGAATTTTTTGAGTAAAGACACGGGTGAGGCGTTCCAGCTCGCTCTTAGATAGATCTTTGGGATTACAACCGATGCCGCCCTTTGCTCCACCATAGGGAATATCTGCTACGGCCGTCTTCCACGTCATCAATTGCGCAAGTGCGTTCACTTCATCGGGGTCAACCTTAAATATATAAAAGTCAAGTCAGCAACCTCAACCATAAACCGAACAAAAGAATTCCCAGAGTATTCTTGTCACAGGAGAAACGGTTATTCAATACTATAAACCCACGTGCATCAATTTCTTCTATTGAAAAGAAACGACAAAAAACCTATTGAATTCAACCGAGTATATAAATAGCATGAAAAGTATGCGCTTACGTTTTCTATCTTACAAATGCAGATTTAATCCGAGACCACAATAAAAAGTACAGAAGCATATGTCAAATGGACTCACAGCCAATGAACAGCCACCAAGACAATAATTATATTTCTGTTAGCGTGACCTCTCCAAAACCACAACAAAGGAGATTTACAGGGCATAAAAGGAAGAAATTAAAGATACGCCAAACACATTTTTACACTTCCATTATTCACAACAAACAATATATATAACAAAAGAGACTAATTCAAAAACTAGCACCTAAGAACCATATCTTTTGCTCAACTATCTTAATAGCAAGAAAGACACTCTTTTGGCCAGGCTTGTAATCTCATGCTAGCCGTCAAAAACACTGAATACACATCTCTAAGACTTCCAACATGAGCTCTCTGTTTCCCATATAATCCAATTGAAGATATAAAAAAAAAAAAAAAAGAAGTACCTTTAGTTACACATTGAACAACCAAAAACAGCTGACGATGAAAGTATCCAAATTTTTAATTCAGCCATCTTAACAGAAAGGATCCATCCAAAAGGAGGTATTGAATTTAAACAAGCTCAATCACTACATGGTTTTCAGAATGCAGATTAGATTTAATTAGTTCATGATTAGTTTCATTCTCCTTAGCAAAGATTGAGTTTACTAGTAAATAAAACAGATGAGATCCTATTCCAACATAAGATCCAAAATACAGCTCTGTTCACGCCTTTTTAAGATGGAATTTAGAATGCAAAACCACCAAAAGCCATTAATGATGGCCTCCATTATCCTGACTAAGAATTTCACATACGTTTGACTTAACAACAAGGAGTAATAAAATCACATTATCACCAAAGAAATCAACAAAATTGCGAGTTACCTCTGGATGGTATCTGATTCCTCCTTTCATGGGCCCACGGGCATTGTCATGCTGCACTCTGAATCCTACATAAGACACCAGCGTTCCGTCGTCCTTGGGAATCGTGCACTCGACCTAATAAAGAAGAAGAAGAAAAGCCAAAGTGAATCGACGTCCACAATCTCCATTAACAAAAAAAAGAAAAAAGGTTCAAATCGTTTCTAAAACCCTACGGCAACAAAACCGTCGGAAAATAACAGGAAAAGAAATTCCGATTCCGATGTTCCAGTACAAAATCGATTAATAACAACCTTGATTTCTCTGAAGGGGATCAAAAGGCTCTTCTCAATCCTGGAGTCGACGCCGAGGATTCGCGCCGCCTGGCGGAAGTTGCGATTGGTGGCGGCAAGCGCATTCATTTGCACGAGATGATCTCCGGTGATTCAAAACCCTTGGTTTAGATTTTCGCTGATTAATGAGCCAACAACTGCGAGAATGTAGACTGCAAATTGCTTTGCTACGCTATATGCTACATATCCTCCATGAATCATTCGTCGAAATATATACACCCTCAGAAAGGGTGGGGTGGGGTGGGGTGGGGTGGGTAGGTAGGTAGGGCTGGACTGGACTGGACTGGGGAAGCCAAGCCGAGCCATCTAAGCCGACTCATAACTTTGACTCGGAAACATTGTACCAATTAAAATTAAATAAAATTTTACCAATGAGAAAGAGGAACGGAGCTGCTCACCCACGTGGCGTATATTTTTTAATTATATTTATTTAATAAATGCTCTTTAATTAGGTAGGCGGGCTGTTCCAATTTTTATGCTCGTTTTAGTCTTTTGAATTATTTTTTAAATTCCTTAATAAATTATTCATTTTTTTTTATTTTGGTTTGTACTATAATAAAATATTTATTTTTTTAATTATATTTTTACAATTTATAATATATTAACACAATTTACAATATATTAATACAATTATCATTATATTCATATAACACTACAAGAAATAATCATTTTTGTAACAAAATATTTGTGTCTCTAAATCTACTTTTTCCGTTACTAATGACATTAGAGACGGAATTAGAAATAAAATTACGTTAGCTACGTGAACTTTAGGGACGGAATTCCGTTACAAATATATTATTTTTTTGTAGTGTAACATTATAATAATAAAATTATTTTAGTTATTTTTATTTATTTTTATTGCATATCAATATAATGTTAATATATTTTAAATTTCATGCAAAAAGTAAATGAATATTTATTTAAATGACAGTAAATATTATTTTTAAATTATTTTACAATTATATAAGTTACTATATATAAGATACCTCTATATATATATATATATATCAATAACTATTTAAAATAAATTACAATTATTAAGAGCGTGTTTAAGTAGATGTTAGTGCATTCAATTAGTTAATAATTATTAATTGATTTAATAAAAAAAAAAAAAATCACTAGATGAATTACTTAATTCTTTGAGTAAAAATAACTATCAAAGAAGTTAAAGGTTTTACTCAAAAATAAAAAATAAAATTGATTTCAATGAAATTTTTCCGCCGGTAGTTAAATACACAACTGCTAGAATTATATTTTTTGGTTCCTCATTATAGTTGGGAACTAAAATAAATAGATGTTAAAACAACTTTCATACGTGGTGATTTAAATGAAAAGATTTTTATAAAAAAATCGATAATTTGTAGATAAAAGTAAGTCTAATCATATGTGTCTACTTAAACAAAATTTGTATGATTTGAAATAATCATCTAGATAGTGAAATATAAAATTTGATAAGTGTATGAAATTCTTACAATTCTTAAAAAAATAATTTTGACAATTATTTGTATTTTATGGTATCAAATAATATTCTTGTATTTTTACTTTTCTATACGAATAACATCTTATTGATTAATTCATGCGTAAACGAACTGTAACAACAATTGTGTTGAATCAATTTGTTTATATTGAGAAAAATTTAAAACGATTCTCTATGTAAAATGTTAAATCTGCTAATGTATTTTTAGATTTTCATTTTGTGTTAAGCAAGGAATATTGTTCTAAATTCGAATATGATATGAATTACATGAAAAATGTATCATATTCGAATATTATAGGTTCTGTAATGTATTTGATGATTTGCACTAAGCTAAAATATTACATACTTTGTGAGTTGGTTGAGTCGTTTCATGTCTAATCCTATAATTTAGCATTGAAATAGTGTAAAATGGTTACTTAGATATCTTTATGGCACAAGTAACTTAGGGCTTAAATTTGAAAAATATATTGACAGAATCAAATTAAATAATTGTGTGGATTCTAATTATGCGAATGACAGAAACAATAAAAAATCTAGAACATCCTATGTGTTTACTTTGTGTGACATGTGTATAAGTTGAAAATCTCAACTTCAATTATTCTATCTATTACTAAATCAAAATATTTTGTTATAATTAAAATTCTCAAGGTAGAGAGTTGTGGCTAAAAGGTTTATATTTTGAAATTGAGATATTGTGTGACAAAGTGATAATTCTTTGGATAATTAGTTTGGAATCCAATTATGCAAAAATTCTATTTTTTATGATAGAATCATACACATGGATGTTAGGTTTAGGTTTCACTTTATACGTGACGTAATTACGAAATGGTTAATTAAACTTGAAAAAATATCTTCTCAATTTAATACAGGTGATATGAGAATAAAATCTTTGTATGTTTCTAAGTTTCAAGCATGTTTAAATGTACTAAACTTTGATATGTTTGATTAGAATTGTATGTTCTATAGCATGTATTATTACTTTGTGTTTAATATATGTTATATTGCGTTGACTCTATCTTAAAATATTGCAGGAATAATGACGTTGATGATAACATATTTTCATTCTCAATTACCTTCAAATGTAACTACAATGGTCGACCATAAACAAAGTGGAGATTATTAGTGTGTTTCGCTCGACTTATCCGAACCTGAGCCCAAATCGCGATCTGAATCTGACATGACCTGATATGGTATGGTTTATTTTAAAATCTCCAAAATCATAATTGTTTATCGATTTCTCCTCTCTCCATTTTTTTGTTTGCGATTTTTAAATTGCCTCCGATCGGTTCCTTCTTTCTTGGTATATATCCCCTGAAAGTGCGCACTGGGTAAATCGGTTCCTTCTTTCTTGGTATATATCCCCTGAAAGTGCGCACTGGGTAAACCCCCGGACCTAATACCCTGCAAACCAGGCCCAACAGAAAAGTCACACTAGGCGAACCATGTGTGGCAAGTGACCTGAGGCGTCGGAGGTTTGAACCCATGACCTCACGGTCACAAGTCCAACCCCTACACTACCAGGCCATCCCTTACGGGACATGTGGAAAACTTTTTTATTTTATGGGATTGCGGTGCAGCGTTGTTATCTTCTATGCCAAGTGATTTGCTCTGTGTTGATCATACTGATTTTTCCCAATCGTGTGTTCCCATTTCTTTGTTTTGGATTACTATCGGTAAAAACAATATCTCTTTTTGTGGTTTTGCCTTACCTAGAGGACTTGGAGTTTAGCGGCAGAGTAGTTGTTTGAGTCTAACAAATCTTTCTCCTATTTTTTTTTTTTTTAATTTTGATTTAACATTACTTTCTTCGTCCGATTCTAACATTTACATTTATTTTTTTGCACACGAATTAACAAATACTCCATTTGTTCCCATATAATAGCCTTGTTTACCCTTTTTGTCCGTTTCAAAACAATAGTCTCATTTTCATAAATACTCATATCACTATAAAACTACCTTTAATTTTTTATTATTACGCAAATATCACTAATTTTACATTAATACACTCACAAAAGGAAAAAAAAATTCTTTTATTCATACATTTTACCAACTATTAATTTAGGCGGCAACTACAGTGCTGAACAACACATCGTGTGCTATTAGACAACATATAATATTACTACAAACAACACACTGTATATGTTAATATAATACAAATACAACACATGAATTAAACACACATGTTATAGTCTCAACAACACACAGTATTACTACAGACAACACATTGTATATATTAACATAATACAAATACAGTACACAAACTAACATCACATGCTATAGTCTTATACAACACACAACAGTTGATTTTACCGCATGACATACTTGTATACAACACACTTGTTATTATTAAAAAAATAAAACATACATTTATTATACATAGCATATGTTGTGTGTAATACTAATGTGTGTTGTTTATATATATAACTTGTGCCGATGAAATCAGCACTATAACCATCCTCATTAATATATTAATAATATTTCTTAAATTTCGTGTCTAATACAAATAAGACTATAATTTTGGGACAGGTGAAGTATTATTTGAATAACAGTGCGTAGATATAATAATGTAAAGATCAAATTGTACTTACTTTTAGATGTAAGTATATAACAAAATGAAGGTAATGTAATAAATAAGTGTAAAAGAAAAATATATTAGTAGTTAATGATAGGGTTTACCATTACTAAAAAAATAAAAATAAACATTTTAATTGAAGAAATCAAAATATAAATATATAAAAGTGGACCGAAAGAGTCGGTATGTTCACTGAGTATTTTTCCATAAAACAATTTTTCATAAATATTATTACAAAAATATAAATATACATTCATATCATACATAAAAATTCAATTCATTTAAAAACGTTAAGTGAAGAGACTCGTATATTTTTTAAATTGTTATCCATTAATTTTATTGGTTGAGAATTTGTGTTTTGTAGATAACCAACGGTTCAATAAATAAAAAATATTCATTAATAGTCATAATAATCACACTGTAAATTATATTTTTTTAGATGTATTCATTAATTATAATTATAGTACTAATTATGACTATATTAATTGTAGTCTATTAAATTTAATGAATTAATATTATTGTTTTAGTAGAAAATTCAAAAAGTGAAAATATTTGTTTTTATATTTAATAAATATGGATGCACAATATTAATAAATATCAAATTATTTACATAAATAAAAATATCAAAATAATATTCTTTTTACATACATTAATCCTTTACAATTTGTAAATGCATATTAAATAAAGAATATAATTAAATATTATTTTTTAATTTTGTCAAAATTAATAATTAGATAAATTTAAGTAATTGATAATAAATTTGGCAGATCGAAAGAATAATTTTCTTCGAAACATCCTATATCTTCAGTTGTTTTAAGTCTCTCATATCACACTTGTTTTAAAAAAATTATTATACACTTCAATCAAATTTTAAAATTCTTAATATATACAGTAATTTTTGAATTTTTATTACACTAATCAATTATTTTAATTTTAATTTATTATTATTTGTGTTTACTATAATGATTTTTACTAATATTTCCTTATTTATTTATATAATTCACTTCTTAAATTTATTTTTTTATATTTGAGACAAGACGTGAGACTGAAAGGAATAATAAAAAAATAAAGATTAATGAGTCTGTGTATATATATAATTCTTTTTATCCTTAAATTATAATTATATTTTAGTTTACACATATTAAAAAAATTA